TTTTGGCCATATCTCCGAAAAATTCATTTCATTGAAAATATTAATTTATACAAAATCGAAGAAAAGAAAATTTACACCTGTTTAGCTTTTCAATTTAGGATGAATGGGTAAGAAGTTATATATATATATATATATATATATATGTATATATATATATATATATATATATATATATATATATAATATGAATATGCATTTGGCGTAAGAACCTCCCCTCCCCACCACCCAAGATATTTTATTGCTCACCTTTTCTTAATAACAGAGGTCTAAGGTCTAAATAGAAAAATCGTAGATCATATACAATTTACTGCGGTATGTTCCATGTTTTTCCCCTTGTCCCTTAGTCCGAAAATTCATTACCCCGTCGAAATTTGTCCCCCTTAAAAATTCAAAATATGCCCCCTCAAAGATTTTTATGGCGCAACTTTCGTCAAGAAACCCCCTTTTGGCCACCCCTGCTAATGGTTATTGATAAAAAAGATAAATATATATATATATTTTTTTTTTTTGTTTTAACTGATGTACTAAAATAATCCAGAATCATGAATGAACCGAGTGGTACATTTTTGATCGGACACGTTTCTGCTGAATGGGGTTACCTCAATCTGTTTACCAAAAACCCATTCAACCAAACCGATCGATATCTTATCGATTACATGATCGTGTTGAAAAATAGCCCATGTAAACATTCCCTTATCTCCCTGTTTCATCATTCGTTTGTTTTGTTATATATATTAATTGTTTTGTTAATATATATATATATATATTTTTTTTTGTTTTAACTGATGTACTAAAATAATCCAGAATCATGAATGAACCGAGTGGTACATTTTTGATCGGACACGTTTCTGCTGAATGGGGTTACCTCAATCTGTTTACCAAAAACCCATTCAACCAAACCGATCGATATCTTATCGATTACATGATCGTGTTGAAAAATAGCCGATGTAAACATTCCCTTATCTCCCTGTTTCATCATTCGTTTGTTTTGTTAAAATATTATCAGATATCTATATCAGATGTAAATATTTTTATCTCGCGAAGATAATTATTATGATAGAGTAAAGCCTATCTTAATAATCTGTATAATAAATTAAGTGGTGGCCATCCATTCAGTTACATAATAATATTTCCAAGTAAATATTTTTTTTCTCTCTCTCCTTCCCTGTTATAAATAAACCTGTGGCTCATCTTCAAAGAAACAAGACCTTACAGTTGCCTCCATTGGCTTGTAGCCATACTGAGGGGCATAGGAACGTGGGGGATGAAAGGAACAACTTGCCCCAGGGACCCAGGCTCAGATTCAAAAAAGTATTCTATTCGAGAATTAAAAAAAGTACAACAAATTGTAAATTTTAGGACGGACACATTTTTCAGAAGTAGAGAATGCTTCAGAAATCTAGGAATACTAGATGTACACTTAGAGCAACCCTTTAGTTAAAAATCACCGTCTAAAACTATGAAATGAGATTATTTATAATCGGGGATTTCAAGTCAAAAATTTGAATTTGAGTTAACCCAGTAAACTTAAAACATAATTTTTTGTTTATATTGATCTTTCTAAATAATTATGTTCTTCTTTTTCTCGCCTTTTAAGCTATATGGAATTTTCCCTGAACCAGGGGAGAGTGCAACATAATTATGCCAGAGTTAAACAAGTCCCCTCGGCAATGGGATTTGGTTTATGATTTTGAATCTCATTGTCGGTTGTTCTGAATGTATTATCATTGAATATACATTTAATGAAACTAGGGGATACCCCCTGTCCATCCAACGGCGGACCAGGATAGGAGCTCCTGTAATCTCCTGCCCTCCTAATACTAAAATAAAATATGTAAGCCACTTTTTTATATAATAGAGAGATGTAATAATATAATGGCAGATGGGACTGTCTATAAATGAGAGAAAAACCAAGTGCACCGCATCCATAGATCTCGATTGGTGACTACACAATCGAAACGGTCTAACGATATGTTTATCTGAGCTCCCAAGTAAATGCCAACAACGATATATCAGAAGAAATATCAAAGAGGATCCTGGCGGCAAATAAATGTTATTTTGGCCTGCGGTGATATCCAAGTCGCTTAATCTCCAGTAAAACTAAAGTGACTCCGTACAAGACACTTATTTGCCCTGTCCTGAAATATATGGAGCGGAAACGTGAAGCTACTCCAAACCAGATGAAAGTAAGCTGTTGACCTTTGAAAGAAAAGTATTAGGTCGCATTTATGGACCAGTACGCTCAGGTGACAATTGGAGAAAGGGGAGGAGTAATGCAGAACTGTCAGCCATATACTATGATACGGATGTAGTCCAGTCCATTAGAATATAGGGTTTAAATGGGCGGGTCATGTAGCCAGGATGGTTGAGAGTAGCCCAATTAGCAAAATTACGCTGACACGTCCAGAAAAAAAATGAAGAGTTGGAAGACCTAGATTGCGTTGGATGGGGGGTAGAGTTCTTCTTGGCTTGGACTAGCTGACTGGAGGAGAGCTGCAAGAGAGAGAGACCAGCGGGTGAGACTAATTGAGGAGGCCAAGACTCAGCATTGAGTTGTAGCTCCCATGAAGAAGAAGAATATAATGCTTTCATATTCCAGTTCATGTCACTCAAGGGGGCGCATGAAACCTTTCTTCGGAAGAAATTTTATTGCTCTGTTCTTCTTAAAAGCCGTGTAGAATTAGAAAAAATTTATGTTATATAGATTTGCACTTTTGATCTTTCCATGGTTTTCTTCTTGTTTCCTGGTTGTAAGTTCCTCATGAATTAAGGAATTAAAACCCCACAAAAGTATAGTCTCCTTCAATAATCCATAACCTTCCCCTCCCTCTATAATATGCTCCCGTAAGAATTTAAAACCCTACCCTCCATTGTGTCAGTTGAGTTATTTCAATATTGCTTGGCATATGTTGAGAGTAACTACAAATATTCTGTATGAATCTCTTAGAAAATTCAATTCTCTACAAAATTGATTATTGTGAATTTTTCATTTTAAAAAATTGTTCTTAAGGCAAAACCAGGGCTGTAACTAAGAGAGACAAACTATTTTTTTTTAAATATTGTCTCCCCCTTCTTTCACCACCCACTGCTGCCAATAAAAATCAAAATTCTATATCAGTACTGAGGTAATGTATTTGAAAATGAAGATCATCATCAGATAATATTGACTCGTATCATTGATTGAATTTAATATTAAAATAATTAAAAAGTAAACATAAAATATTTTTTACTTAGAAGAAAAATATATATTTTTTTATTTGTCTCTCCGGGCATTGGTCCCTTTTGCACCTCTCTGGTTCCGGTCCTTAGCGAAAGTACTGGAATATTTTGTTTGTTTAATTTTGTTGACATTTTTTCTGTTCTAAATTTTAATCACCTTTTTCGTAGCTATGGTATCTGTGGTATTTCAGTAGCTTTGTTCTAAACATGTCGACTATAAAACATGGCAAAATTAATGCTCTTTAATATTGGTAATAAAATAACTTTTACTAAAATTCACTGAGAGTGGGTTATGTAGGAAAAAATGAAAACAGAACATGTGGTGAGAGGTTAAAAATTTGGATTTTCAAAGAAGGTATCAATACATACAATATATTTGAAAATCTAAATTACTCAACATGTGAATGATATCTTCATTTTCTTGAGAGTTACATATTGAGTCGTTATTGTTGCTTTAATCGAATCCATGGTTTTATGTTTAAGTCTAGCATTTCTTTCCTGCATTGAAAAATTGGCCGTATCATTACAATGTCAAAACAATCATTCAGATATGGTGTAACAGACATTTTAAATGGTCTGTACATAGTTTTATCTGTTTGTATATAGCTTGTGCACCCAAGGTTTTCTTTACTTTTTATTTTATTCTATCAATTTTATTTATTGTTTCAACGTTCAGGCCAGTAATATTCTATTATTTTGTACATTATTGTTATTCTGAAGGGACTTAGTCCCAGAATAAAGTTTTTTTTTCTATCTATCTATCTAACAGTATCAACTGAATCTGCATAGATAGAAAAACTAAAATGGAACATTTTTCAAGATTACTTTGTTTTTCCAAGTCCTCTTATAGCAGTCAATTTTCAGCACAGATCAACAATATTTGCAGTACTAAGATTAATTTTATGATGCTCCTCTCATTTTCTATCGTTTTGATTATGGCTGCCTTGTATATGGTGCACTGTCTGGTCAGTCTTGAGATCAGATTAGAGAGACTAATGAAGTGTTTCATTAATTTATTTTTGAAGTGGCTTTCTATCCAGTCCTTCGATGGCAATATTTCCTAGGTGTATTCATTTTTCGAATCTTTTCAACCAAAAATCTTACCTTCTCGATTATTTTACTCCTTGTTCCTCTGTCCATTCAGTCAACACGAGATCCCTGCCATCAAACCTGTTAATTCCTTCTAATGGAACTTTTTCCTTTAAAAAATCCTTTTCATTTGTGCTACCTTGTTTTAGAATTACCTACTAATCTCCGTACGCAAATCCTCATCCTTTAACATCATTTAAACATCATTTATTTTTCCATCTCCTCAGCAATCAATCTTCCGAGTAAGTGTAAAATAATGTTTATGTTTTTCAAAGCTGTCTATCGCATTTAATGTTGTCTTAAAGATAATTATATATCATCCACATTGTATATTTGTACAAATATGTGAAATCGCACTTCTGCATTTATGTATAATTTCATATGTCTACAAGTGCTTTTTCTTTATTTTAATTTTAATTGTAGATAACTATGTTATTTAATTTATTTTTGATTGTTTCTTATGCCAGACAATTGTCGTTTCTTTGTTCATTGTAGTTATTCTTCGGGGACTTACTGTCCCAGAATAAAATTTTCTTTTCTTCTTCTTTCTAGAATTCTAACCATTTTCGGTACTGATAAACTTTTTTTATCGTTACATCTTTTGTGATCATCAGTTATATTTATAGTTTTTTATTATATAATTATATAATTTTTTTATAACTTTGATTTTTATATATATTTTTGTAATCCAGATTGTGCGAGATGCAGAGAAGCTGGCTAAACGTATGAACCACAGAGGTGCCTGCGCTTGTGATAATGACACTGGTGACGGAGCAGGAGTCCTCACTGCTATTCCACATTCCTTTTATGTTCATGAACTCAGGTATAAATCAATGATTATATCGTAATAAGTTTTAATAGTCATTGAAAATTAAAATTTTTATAAAAATGGGATATTAAAATGTTTTTAGTAGTTAATTAATTAATTATTAATAAATAAGACCCTAGAATTAGGCACTTATTTCCCCTTGAAACCCGTAGACTGCTGGTCACTTCCTTAATTTTTCCCCACTTTGACTATTGCTGTATGATATATGGGGGCGTCTCTGGGGATCTCGAGGAGAAACTAAAACGCTTGATAAATTGCTTTGTAAGATTCATCTTCGGGATCCCAAGGGACGCCTCTGTTTCCCGTTTTTATGTAGAGTTGAAGTGGCTTTATCCTTCCTACCGTCGTAAATATTGCCTGTCGTCCTTCCTCTTTCAAGTCATCCAATCCCACCGACCTTCATACATCTCCGAGCTCCTCCAATTCAAATCCTCTGTTCGCTCCCGCAATACTCGTTCCAGGTCTTCTGATTTATATATAAGGGCCCACTGAACCGCTGCTTTGGACAGATTGTTCATTATCCGATCCTCATCCTTATGGAACTCCATCCCTTCCCACATCCGTCAATCCAGTACCCTTCCTACCTTTAAATCCCGCCTGTTCAATCATTTCTTATCCATCCAGTCCACATAAAATTGTAAATAAATACCACTGTAAATATGTATATAAATTATTAGATTTTTCTTCATTATTTTTACTTTATTTTAAAAATTTTTATTATTAACTTATTTAAGTTAGAAAGTAACATATAATTTTTAATATGACTATTTCATTACTCAACATTTCTTTTGATGAATCTCTGAGGCTCGTTAGCCCACATTACTGTCCTTACGTATTATTCTAAAGGGACTTGTCCCAGAATAAATAAAGTATTATTATTATTATTATTTTCTTCCACATCAATCCACAAAAAAAAAATTGTCTAAGTGAACAACTAATATATTCAAGAAGTTAATTTATACTGTATTGTTTGGTCGATTCCAAATGTTACTGGCATGACACTTCCTGTCGTTACTTAGATTTCGTGTAATTTTCAGTATATTTAAATTAATTTTTATTCTGAATTTGTATTAAAAAAAAAAAATTCTTATTTGTGATTGTGTTTATTACTATAGAAGTTCTACTAACTCGTTGTGGTCTTCATTCCATCCTTAAATATTAAAGTTGTGTGAACTTCACACATATTTTCATATTTCAGTTGATTCCGAACTAACCCAAAGTTGAATTTTTCCTTTTAAGTATGTATCACTACTGTTAGTGCAAAAGGTCTTATGTAAATATTTGTGCTAAAGGTGACATTTTGTAGTCTGCAACTGATATAAGCAGTCTGCTACTATGGAAAATAGCAGAGAGCAATCAAATATGAAATTATACTAATAAATCATAAAGATATAATTAGTTCTTATGCACTCCTGTTAAAAAATGAATTTTTATATAGGGTCTTTTGCACTAACAATAGTGATATTAATGTTCAGTATGCACTGAAATTTTCTTTAAATCACGAATTATCAAATATCCAATTTGCAAATGCAGAATTCTTTCACATTTTAGTATCCAATGAATAAAACTATCAAACCCCAATATGTTGAGGAATTACTAAATTTCTGAAAACGCTTTCTCCCAAAGATTTTATTCTCATACGAAAAATGTTAGACCTTGTAATATAGATATTTTTTAGTTAATGAAATGGGTGAGGAAGCTATACTGACCTTACTTGGCAGACTTTTTTTTTAAATATACGACCAAACATGAAAATTTTATATAAGGCTGGTACAGGTACTTGTAGGACCGTAGTGTCCAGCAGTAAGTAAACTGTATACAAAGGTGATATGTGTTAAAATGGCTAAAATAAGGTTACAAATAAATAAAAACATAATGTAATTTAATACAAGTTTTTTTTTTTTAATAAGTTTTATTGCTTTACATCTTTTTGCAAAAAAAAAAAGAAAGGATCCTATTAATTATTAATTAATTAACTTTACTAAATATAATGTAATTTAATTAAATTTAGCTAAAAAAATGTATTGCTTTATTCTTTTTTGATAAAAACGGGTTCTAATGGTTAATTATTAATTATGTAATTTTTTAAATCGTAATATAATCCGCAGGGAACAGCAAAGCGTTGAGCTTCCACCACTCGGCCAGTATGCGACTGGTATTGTGTATATGGATAAGGTTCATCATGCAGAAAGTGAGGAGAAATTTGCAAAAGTTGCAGAAAATTACAAACTTAAGGCAAGTAAATTTTATTATGACAAATTAATTATTACATTTATGTTCTAATTTCTAATTTAGTTGTAATAATTTCATTCAACAATTTAGGGTAAAAGCACCAGTAGCTGCTTAAGAATATTTCTTTGAACTTTTAGGTGTAAAAACTTAAATATAGATGTTATTGTATTTTTCTTGGATTCGTCTTATAGAACTACTTCTCATTTTGTCAATGCCCATTTAAAATCCATGAAACATTCTCCTCTATTTTTAAAAACTTTAAATTCAGAGAATAGTTTTATTGTAACTGTAGTTGTCACTGTTTGATTTGAAATGTTTCTATGGTTGACAGGGATGAGAACAAGGATGTAATTATACGAAATAAGGTGTTGAAATTTTACATTCTTCATTTTAAGATTGATATAAACAAAAACAGCTTGATTATAAAACTAATTTCTTGTGTTTTCCGATTTAAATTTATCCGTAAATGTAGGGCACTGTCAAGAACTTATTTTTTGCAATAGGAAAACCTATTTTTGCTTTGTATTTGAACCATATAACTAGCAATTCTTCTTTAAACAAGAGAATAGTGAATGGTCCATTTTTAAGACCTGTTATATTGAGTATATCTCATTTAATTTCTGTGAATAAAGGCCTGTTTAACAAAAATTAAAATATGAGAAGGAGTTGATTAGGGAGTGGAGTCAAATAAATACTAAATTGTTAAAATAGTATTTTATTCGTTACGCCAATTAAAATATATGTTAAAAAAAAATACTATTTTTAAAAATTTAGTATTTATTTGACTGCACCCTTCCTCCTCCCTCCCGACCAACTTCTTCTCATATCATATCACGGTCAACCATCTCTTTACCATTATTAAAAATTAAAATAAAACAAAATTTTGAAAAGTAGTTAAAGAGGAAAGGACAAACCAAAGGTATGATGCCCTTCCTGAAAGATCGTTGTTCCTCATGGACATTAAGTGAACTGTGAGAGATCTTCCTGATTTGGCACCCATTATTTCAGTAGTGGTTCCCGGCAAGATTAAATCAAAGCAGAGAAATGTTCGAGGAGAACATATAGAAGCCACAAATTCATGAAATAGATTGGAGTCTAGGAGGTCCTGAAAATTTATTATTCCCGCTTTTCGAGGTGAATGTCAGGTATTGTTACAATGTCAGCTACTGGTGCTTTTGCCCCATTGGATTAATTTAATTGAATTTGGGCTGTTTCTGCCATTGGCCTGCTTTATGTCTTTATTTTATTTACATAACAATGTATTTTGTTTATAATTTCTTTATGGAATCCCAAAGAACTCATGCGTTCAACAAGAAATGTTTATTTACAACTGCCAGATTTCATCTATTTTTTCCTCATGCCAGGCTAGATGAAGTATCTATGTTGATAAAAGTTTCATTGAAACCCTCCCTTGTTAGTAAAATTAGTAAAACTTATTTCTTATTCATCCTTCAATTTAAAAGAAAGTTCCAATTTTAATTTTTAATTTATGTAGGTGTGTAAAATTATATTTGATATTCAAAATCTTAAGATACACAATTCCTTCTTTTGGTCTTGGGGTAGGTTTTTTATATAGACCACTTCACATTATATTTAATTTAATGCTGTGAGTTACTAATTTAATAGTGAAATTAATTTATTTTTATTTTCCTTTTCTTTTTCACAGCTGGTTAATCTAGAGATCCGGTTAAGAGTTCTGTTGTGTTTTAAAATATCTTAAGTAATTTTCATGATGTAACATTGTCCTTCTTGCCTACAAAAACTTAAAGAAATTAACATAAACAAATTATTTTAAGTTTGGTATATGAAAGTAAAATTAATAGAAATAATGTATTTAAGCATTACTTCAGAAATTATGAACGAGAAGTTTTATTGTACAGGTACTGTGTTGGCGTACAGTTCCGACTTTCAGTGCCGGTATTGGAGAAGTTGCAAGAAACAGTGAGCCTTTTATGAGGCAAGTGTTCATCACAGCTGAAACTGAGGATGAAGAGACCTTTAAAAGGAATGTAAGTATTCGTCAAACTGGAAAATAATCAATGTTAGTTTACCTAAAGTTATGTATAAGTTATCTAAAACTTTCTTGAACGTATGAAATATGATTCTCTATTACTTTATTCAGGTTTGGATGCTTCGAAAGAAGGCTACACATACCATTCCCAAACCTGGAATCAGGTTTTATATTTGTTCCTTATCTAATTCAATTATCGTATACAAGGGACAATTCACATCTGACCAGTTATGGGAATATTTTGCTGATTTAAAAGTAAGTATTTCATTTTAGCTGTTTACTTATTTTCTATTAATTTATTTATTTTATATAATCAATGATTTTTTTATTTATTATAGTCACCAGATTTTGAGACGTATTTAGCGCTTGTACATACACGTTTTTCAACAAACACATTCCCAAGCTGGGAGAGGGCACATCCGCTAAGGTAATATTACAAAAGTAAAAATTTTAATTGTTGTTATTATTATTATTATTTTTATTTTAAGTATAGGCAAGTTTCTAATGTCATTAATGGAAACTATTAATAAAAATATGGCTATCTCTTTATTTATCGATTTCACCAGAGATCTCCTTACTTTTTGGTCTGTAGGCCACAATGAGACTTCCCATAAGTCATGAGGGCCACATCGACCTGTCCATTAAATCCTGTGAGCCTCAGATTATGACAAAAAAAAAATCTGTAACTGCCAACCAGTTGTGAAAAGAGCTTTCTAAGAGGAACTTGTAATCTTTAATAAAAATTGTAACCTTTTGTTTGAGTGATTTACTGAATTTCATATTTTAAAAATATTTTTTTAAATTTTACAATGTAACCAAAGAAACTATTGCTGGCTGCATCTGGCTCACTGATCGTAGTTTAGAGATTCCTGGATTAAACCGCTGGAAATCCATAGGGTTTTTTGGTCGATGTATCATCAGATGTAACCTCTGTTTGTAAAATCTACAATACAATATTTCTTAATATTTTATTTTTTCTATTTGATTTGAATTGAATCCATCATGTTGCTTACTATTAAAATAATCTGGAATCTATTTTTTTTTAAATTAATAAATTTGATAAAAACCTTAAAATCACTAAATGATCCTGGCTCTAAAACTTTATTTTTTTAAATTTATTTACTAATACCATCAAGATCTAGTATCAAATTCTATTTGGTCTATATAAATTTTGGAAGAAATTTGTGTATATATACAAATAAAAGATTAGCAATCATATTTTTTTTAGGAATGAATGTTAATAATTAACTTAATTAAAACATTTCTTTGCCAATAAAGGTAAATTATTGTATTGTTTTTATATTTTCATGGCAGAATCAGCAGAAACTTGATTTAACATTTTTATTTATATGTCAAAGAGGGGTTGTTTAATTTAATTGTTGATTATATAAAAATTAAAGCACAAAAAAATAATGAAAAACTTGACATATATACAAAATTTTCTCTACAAAAGTACTTATGTAAGTATATTCCCCTTTGTACTCCATACAACTATTTATGTGATGAGAACGGGGGCCACTACTTAACTGTTAAATTTGTTTAAATTATTTAGTACTTTTTTTTTTTATAAAACACAATGAATATTAACTCTTTTTTTTTAATTAATCTTCCCAGATGTTTAGCTCACAATGGTGAAATCAACACACTCAGAGGAAATGTTAACTTCATGAAGGCTAGAGAAGGTGTCATGAAGAGCCCGTACATTGAAAATCTCAAAGACCTGTATCCAGTTGTAGAGCCTAATCTTTCAGATTCTGGTAGTCTTGACTGCGTCCTCGAATTCCTCGTCATGGCAGGAGGACGTCCATTGCCAGAGGTTTGTCATCTTCCATCTCTAAACCATTATTCCTCAACATTGCTAAAAATATATTGATTTTATTATTGTTGCTATGGAATAGGTTACTTGCATGAATTTTTAAATTTTTATTTGCTATTGGTTGCAATTATAAAAATGCAAAAGTCCCAAATTCTTTTAATCTATATTTGAAAAAATAATTAGTATTAAATTAAAATAGTAGGAATTGAGCTTTCATGAAAATGGAATCACTACGTCATGGCTTGTCAGCACCTAGCTCATACCATTGTTTCTCTTATACATTTTAGCTTAGAATTATTGTTTTCAGCTACAAAACTTCCAATCAAGAAATATCTTTTTGTTTTTACTTTCATCCTGTCTCTGAGTAAGATTTGGAATGTGTGGACGGGATACCTGCTTTCCCATTAGAAGTTAGGTCACCCATGCAGACGGGATACCTGCTTTTTCACCACGACTGTCGCCAGTTATAGCAGCAGTAGGGGAAAGTGCCGATTCCACCATTCACTTTATGGCTTGTTCGGTGCATTCATTAGTTCTCTGAAGCTCACTCATGGTCGTTCTGGTTTCTGACCATTTGGGAAGGCATATGTCCTGCTTATTAACAATTAAATAAGAAGGTTTTAAAAGCTAATATCTTTCAGAGTGACTCAGAATAGTATTATAAACATATTCAAGGGGAAAAAAATCCGGTTTTTCCAAGTGTCTTTTTGGATTTTGGGACCCGCTATAAGGAAAAAAACATTCGTTATGAGAAAACGTTAGCAGAGTTAAAAAGTAGATCTGAAAGAGGTTGAGGAGTATCATGTTTGGGATGTTTGTGGACTCAGGTCACACTGACATTCCCTACTATACTTTTCAAAATATTTTAAATATTTTGTTTGAAATGTGTTTTATTAGCTTTTGTAAAGGCCTATTTATGAAGATAGTACAAAGAGATGTTTGATAGCATTGTGTTTGGGAGTGGTGTACATCACTTCACGGTGGCCTCATACCACACTGTTCTCCTCCATACCTCCCAGATTCACTGTTATTTCCAAGTTTTTAGCTAAATATGAACCTTTTTTTTTATTATTTAAAAATTACGGTATATATCTTATATACATTATTCATCACAGTTCAGCTCTAATTTGCACAATTTTCTTTTTCCATACAATTATCCAATTCCAAAATTGTTCTAAAACTTGAAAATCATGCTTCAATATTATTAGTAATATATAACCTCTTTGTAGGCTGTGATGACGATGGTGCCTGAAGCTTGGCAGAATGATGGAACAATGCCCAAAGACAAAAGAGACTTCTACCAATGGGCTGCGTGCGTTATGGAACCATGGGATGGTCCAGCACTTCTCACATTTACCGATGGCAGATATGTTGGAGCAATCTTAGACAGGTATTATGTGTGATAAAACTAACCTATGATTCCCATTTACATTTTAATATTCACTGATGAAATAATAAGCATTCAACTCTACATTTATTTATGTTTTCAGGAATGGTCTTCGTCCTTCTAGATTTTGGTTAACCAAGGACAATATGTTGGTAATGGCATCTGAAGTTGGTGTTTATGATACTGACCCAGCAAATATTAAATTAAAGGTATATTAATAGATAAAATGAATTGTGTAAATTTATTTATGTATTGTGCAATACTAATATAATCTCGTATTGAATATCTTTCCTTCTTCCTAATACATTCAAAGTATAAGAGATATTAGGAAATGATATTTATTCCAATAAACAACATAATATTATCAATAATGTCGATTCAACACACACTTTTGGTAAATCTACATTCTTTAAAATGACTTATACAGTAACAGTTTACTTAGTATGTATTTAGCTTGCTCCTCTGGACAATATCCCTTTACTGTAACATTATGTGATCGAGAAATGGATCTTTTTTATTGTGTGTCAAAAGTATGGAACAGATTTCAAAGCTGCACTTTTTTAATAGATTTTTAGTTTGCTGCAGACTCAGCTGAGTTTTGAATCCTCCTACTTTTTTCAATGACATTTAATGCAGTTGTAGTTCTAATATTTAAGGATCAAAATTTGAATTCATCACTTTTCCATGAAATTTCCTTTCTCACAAGGTGGCAATTATTTGTCAAAATCCATTGCTCCTGAGAGCCAGAAAAGAGATCTAAAGTGCCATATTATTATTATTATTATTATTATTATTGTATAGGTATAGTAGATTATACTTTTTAATCAACACCAACTGAAAACTAATTGATCAATTAAATAGCATGTTTCAAGAAAATATTGGGATGTTTGCAAAAATAATACAGGTTATTAATATTCATTGAAAATATGCCATTCCATCACTTCAAATGTAAGTATTTAATCAAAATAATTTCCATCAGAATTGATGCACTTTTTTCAACGTTCAACAAATTTGTTTGACCTCAACTAGTTGTTGTCCCCTACAGAATGGCAGTGATTACCTTCCAAAGTTTCCATTGAGAAATTTCTAGAACCAACACTGCACAGTTCATTCGTTAATAGTCCCCTGACCCCATACTTTATTAATATTATGAGCAGTTTGTGCAGCACTGCACCCTAATTCAAATTTGTAAAAATTAATTTGACAAAAATTACACTTTGACATTTCGATTTGAAACCTTTTAATACACTGAATAAAATGGTTTTACTGATTTAATTCTTGGTGAAAGAGAGGGTATTAGATAAGGTTTATTATAGTATTTAAAGAATGAATATTTATAATTTGCTTTGTTTAAATAATTAGTATTAAAACATTGTAGTGGCGGAAACCTGCAATATTTTCGCATCAACCCAATATTAATATTATTATCAATTTGATATTACTATTATTATTATTGTTTTTTTTTCAGAGCCGTTTGAAACCAGGCAGAATGTTGTTGGTTGATACTAAAGAAAAAACAATGATTCAAGATGTTGAAGTTAAAAAACGAATTGCCAATAGCAGGAATCATTCTCAGTGGTTGAAGGAACAGGTATAGACTTACTAAAAAATAAAAAATTTTATTTACAAATTCACTCCATTTACATTACTTTGTACTCAATTATTTAAAAATTGTATTTTTACCGACATTTCAACTTTCTAGAAAGTAATTTAGTTAATTTTATTTTTTTTCTAACTTGTTTGAATAACTTTTGTGGTTAAAAATACTTATTTTGCATTTATTTTGTAAAAGATTCTCAAAATTAAGTTTTAGATTCATTTATTTTATTAAAAAATATAATTTAACTTTTTCTAAAATTATTTAAACTTTACTAATTCTATTACAACTAAGAGATATGAAGTCCTTATCATCATTAATATACTGGTACTGCTCCTGATACTGGTACTGGTGGGAGAACTAGTCTCACAAGTGGGCTCTATCGTGGTCCTTTATGCCAATCGCTGAATGGCTACCATGAGGCTGCTGCCACGTACTTACCAAAATGAAAATATCACAATCCATTTCCCAGGGCCGCCGAGAAATGAAAAGTAACCGACCCAGGTGGGAATCGAACAGCCAATGTTCAGGACCGGATGTTCTGGGACCTTAAGATTTATCAGTCATTATGTCACGGTCTGAAGGCAAGGAGGTAGAGATTTTGGAATGGGCTGTAGAGAATAATAGGGAGAAAATTTTGTACATTTTAAATTAAATTATTTTTTATCATAACTTTTTTTGAGGGGGGGGAGAGAGAGGTAATATAGGATGTATGAAAACCTTAATTATTTTGAGGAAAATATTTGAGGCAAGTTTCATCAAAATAATTTAAGCCATTTGGTGTTGCAATCTATATAAAAATACGTTTTGCAGCTATGGTGACTGATTTGATATACAGGCATCGGGAGGGGGAAGGATGATGGCCAAAATGCTACAAAACAAGTACAAAATCTATGCATTCATTCAAGAGATAATCATATCCCCAACTTAAACTGACTAACTCCAAATGAGACTATCATGAGAGAAAAAATAAAAATAAATATAATTAGTATATATTCGACTTTGTTATTTGTTTTACTGAAGACCCCAATCAACTTCTTTTCAATCTTTTTGGTTAGCTTTGGTTAACTGATTACTGAGTGTCCTTGCTACTCAATAAGCATTGGGGTTCCTGAGCACCGCCCATTCAACATGGGAATAACAATGATTCCCTATGCCTCCAAAGTACCAGAGACCGCTGAGCACATTATAGTATCCTTCAACACCTATGAGACTTTGAAGGCAAAACTGCTGAGGGGTTCTAAATTTTGACAGAATCATATTTTCTTTGCTTAATGAAGGGGGAAAATTATCCACTGTTTAAGGACCGTAATTGTGGGAGGTAGGCAATAATAGGCCCAACTCATTTTTTGGCACCAAATAAGCCAACGGACAGAGAAACACTATAGAGCTGATGTTGTATGTTAAAAATTGCACAGAGTTGGTTTGTCAAAGAGATACGGATGGCAGAAGAAAAAAAATTATAAAGTTTAAATACATTAAGAAAAATCTTAACTATATTCATAAAAACTTTAGATAAAGACAATAACCTAAACCTGTATGTAGTTAACTTTAGTCCATGATACAAGCCCCTTTTTATCAAATTATTAACATCCTCCAAAAACTCCGTGAATAGCTTTATCTCATTGTAACCTGCAGCGTTTTTATTTACAAAAATTTTCTTTTCTTTATGTTTTCACTAAATTATTACTTGTTTGAAATGTTTATGTATTCATTTTAATCTTTTTTTATTTATGTATGTGTGCTTTTATAAAGGCAAACTTTGTCTATTTAATAAGGTACTAAAAGCTCATGTACACCCATTTGCGTTCCACTTGAATTGTAAGATAATTTGATCACAAAATCAAGAATAAAGGTGTCCTACAAAAATATTGCGCCATTTGCCATTATCTCATGTCAAAATAACAGGGTTTTATTGGCCAAACAGCCCGATATTTTTGTAGACCACTTTTTTTATTTGGTTCTGTATTATGGACTACTATTTATTAATTTGATTCATGACCCTTTTTTTTTTTTTGTCTAATTTTTTTTTTTATTTCTAGTATTACGTTATTATTTATATTATAATATTGATGTAACAAGTCATCAGTATTACATTTATGATCTTCAGATTTTAAGAGATATATGATTTATTACATTTTTTTAAGGTTTAAAATTGTCTAATTGTGCTTGTCTGTTTTCGTTCCTTATGTGTTTCTGCGTTCGTGAATGGACTACAATAATTATCTCTTCATAGATGGTGAGTTTTCTATTTTTGTGTTGAGCACCAGTGCACCCAGTAGATTCTCAATCTGTAGGTCTTTAAATATGTGTGTACTTAGATTTGAGTGTTTTTTCTTATTTTACTCTTTTTCTTATTTCTCATCTTTTTTTTTTCTTTCCTTTTTTTTCCTTTATGTTTTCATTAGATTATTACTTGTTTGAAATGTTTTAGATGTTTATTTTAATATTTTTTTATTTATGTGTGTGTGTGTGTGTGTGTGTTTATTTCTTATAATTGTTTTATTCTTATTTGTAGACACCTGTCTCTTTTTCAGTCATTGCACAATATTTTCTTCATACGTAGCATTAGTATTTATTTGTTTGAGGAAAAAGTAGAAAATTAGTTCATTTTATAAGTAAATAGTACCATTATCTTTTTTTATTTCTTTATGTTCTATGCACTTTAGTTCCTTATTCCATAATTATTCATTCAAATTTTTTTATTTTTTATTTTTAGTTAATGCATGAAAATTAAAAATTGAATAGATTTTTTTTTTTTTTTGTAGAAAAAACATTTATATTTATGATAAAAAAAATCAGTGTATTATTCTTTTCTGTTAAATAATATGCTTTGTTGCTAAAATCGCAACCTGTTATTCACTAATAATCTCATTATCTTGACAATTTGGTTATAAATTTTTTATAATTAAATTTTCTTAAAGAATGAATACTTATAATTTATCTTCAAATGGTTCAAATATTATATCAACTATAACTTTGTATGTCAATTCAGAGAATTTAAAGAAAAAAATAATTTTTATAATATTTGTTGTTGTCCACATATGTATATACGAGTATCCACGTAGAGATTTAGATGTATAGAGAGTTATACATACAATAACGTATATCATAAAAATTATTTTTTTCTGCAAATTCTCGGAATTGACATATAAAGTTATAATTGAACTAACTTTTGAACCGTTGGAGATAAAGTAGTAAAATAATGTATATTCTTAAAGAAAATTTAATTAAAAAAATGTTCTTCACCATTACTTAATTGTTAGCTAGTCAAATACAGTAAAAAAACATTTTAAAAGTAAAAATATTTTTTTTCCAAATAAGTAATAGTTGAGGACAGATATCTCGGAAACCAAGCGATGTAGCGAAAAAAGATATGTAATCAATCATATTGCAAATTTTATCAGCTTTAATTTTGTACTGACCATCTTTGTCGGTGCGATGGATAGTTTTCCTTATAAGCGAAAACCCCAAAAAAGTGAGCTTATAGACGCCCCCTCATATCTGGTTCACCACTTAGGATTGAGGATTTTTATTATGTTTTAGATTATTGTGTTAAAATCCTTTATTTTGTTTTTAGTTTTAATTGGCATTAAAAGCATTTTATCGTCATAGTTATCATCATCAAAACAATCTTACTGTAATGTGTAGTGTTAGGCATCTGATTATTACATCAAATTTAAATATTCGTATATATATATATATATATATATATATATATATATATATATATATATATATATATAAATATATATAAAATAATATATATAAATATATATATATATATATATAAATAAGTAATTATGAAATATGAGAGATTTCCCAATTTCTGTAGTCGTTATTGTGTTTTTTATTCAAATATTATTTTATTCAAATTTCAAACAGTCTGTGGTATGTTACACTTAACCTTTCTTAATTTTTTGTTATTTTTTGTGAATTATGCCAAGATAATTTTTGGTAGATCCTCTACGAGGTCTAGTTTAGCGACATCCTGATTTCTGCTGAGCTTTAATGGTTTTTGATTGAATGTATATGCTCCAATTATGACCAGAACCAGCAGAAAAATTGTTCCTTTTATATTTAAATTTATCTTTTGAAGCATGTTTGGCTTTGTCGGTGTGTGTAAATTTTCCTGATGATCTATGAAAGACTCACAGATAAATTGTTGGCGTCAATGGATAATTAATGTTCTTCTTTGCTTTAAAATCTTGTCTTTCATGTCATTTTTTTCAATTGCTTTTTCTCACTGTAAGTGTGCAATAAATACTTTAGTTTATTTCTGAATTGGAAATATTGGACACTAAACTGTTTGTTATTTTCACGTTCAATGTTTCAATTCAAAATCATATTTTTTAAAAAATATGTTTCGATAAATATTTTATTTTTTGCTTTTGATGTTTTAACTCGCTTGTTATATACTTCTTGTATTTAGCTATTTTGGTTGTTTTTCTATATAAATTTGTATAAAAAAAAAAAATTTGCATGCTGGTTTTCTTCATTATTTTTTTGTGAGTATAACTTCTTAGCTTTAAGTATTTTAATGTTATTAATTAATCTTTGGCAGTTCAGTATAAAAAAAAACAAACAAATAACTGTTTTATTGTTGTGACTAGTTGTTACGGCTTCATATTGCTGTAAAGGCTCCGGCTACACTATCTGGGCCTAGAAAGGCGAGTAGTGAAATGATGTTTTTGCTGAAAGAATTGACATAATTTTCAAAGGAAACACATTTGAGTTGTCAAAGGATGGTCAAAATATGAGGAAGGGGCAGAAAATAGCCATTTGAGACCTATGGTATTTGTTGGAAAAGCATTTTCGGTACTTGTGACGTAGCCGGTCGCCACGGAACTTAGCTTCTTATCTCGTGTAACCTGTTCTTATCACTTATCTCTGCTTAGTCACTTGTGCGTTCTATACAGGTCAACTAAAAAAACTGGAGGGCCTGGAAAAGTGGTTAAAATAGACAAGTCTTTTTTTTTAAAAGAAAAAAATCATGTTCGGAAAGTGCTCTGTGAACAATGGATGTTTGGCAGAGTTTGTTATAAAACCACCAAAGTGTTTCATTGTAAAAATAAAAGAAAGAAAAGTAACAACTCTATTAGAATGTATTAAAAATAATATAGAAGAGAGAACCACTTTATATTCTGAAATCCTGAAAAGGATACAACACCCAACAACTAAATGAAGCAAACTACAACCATTTTCAGGTGAATCGCAGGTATAACTTTGTCAATCCTTCAAGTGGGGTCCATACTTAACACATAGAAAGGTTATGGGTTAAGTGGAGAAATAAAAAACATCGAGGAACTGCAAGGCAAAACCTGGATTAATATTTATGTAAATTTTTGTGGCGGCGGGTCCACAGAGTAGAGGATCCATTCCTTGCTATTTTAAATAGCATTAAGCTATTCTGTCTACCAAAATACATAAAATATAAAATAAAAGTGTTTTGTTATTATTACATTTCTTGGTACTTTTTGACTATCTGAACACTGATAATTCAGATAACGCAGTGATAAGCCTTCTCCTACTTCGTATTATTGTATTATATTTGTATTATTGAAAGTGTAAACATATACAAAAACAAATGTAATAACAAAAAAAATACTTTTATTTTACCACACATATATTAATGAAATAATAAAAAAACACTTTCAGAAGATATTTACATATAAAACATCAAAATGAAATAATAAAAAAACACTTGATGAACATATGTAGATATAAAAGATGAAAATGAAATAATAAATAAACATTTAAAGAACATATTTATATAGAAAAGAAAAAATATCAACACTATAAACAACATATGTACAATTTATTTTAACTTTGTCTTATTTCTTTTGGAAGGCGAAATTGTTTTATGCTATTTAAAATAGCGTGCAACAGGTCCTCTTCTCTGTGAACCCGCCACCACAAAAATTTGCACAAATATGAATCGAGGTGTTGTCTGGCAGTTCCTCTATGTACTTTATTTCTCCACTTCGCTGAACCCCATAATCGTTCTATATGTTGAGTATGAACCCCAGTTGATGGATCGACAAAATTATAACATTATAAGATCCATAATATGATGAAAATCAAAGAAAAATAAACACAAAGGGGCCACAAACTAAAAAAAAAAAAAAATAAAAAATAAACACAAATGGGCCAAAAACTAAAAATAATGAAAAATAAACACAAACGGGCCAAAAGTAAAGAATTTAATAAGTGAACGTAATAAGGGAATAAATAAAACAATGCAATAACTCAAAGGTTTGGCAGGATAAGAAGAGGGAGGTTATGTGACGTGATGTTAGATAAGATAGATAAGAAGTGAGGTTTCATGTCGGCCTGATAATCAAAAAGTATCCATTTCTTTTTGTCTATTTCAATTCCCATAAATATAAATAAGATGATTGGTATTATTAGTATCAGAATTATCACTGTTCAGGTTATAAACAATGATGGATATCAGTCCATGGTGACCAGTTAACTCACAAGTACCTTATTTTCACTTGGGTAACTGGCAAAGGGTTTCAGTCTCGACTGTACTTGTGCCCTATTGGAATGTTTATTCCAAAGCAAACATTGTAATCTGGCATCCATTTCCCAATAAGCCCTATTTCTAGCTTCGAAATGGGGATAGTGGATGGTCTAGAGATGTAGGCCAACCTAACAAAATCATCTTTTAACTCCTTATCTTTCGGTTCCGTCAGTCAAGTGAGCTTGAGCCTTAAACCTGATTGATGACCAGAAAACAAAATTAATGCAACACCTTACGACACGGTCTTATCAGTTATACTGAATTTACTGAAAGTTAAAAAGAAATTTTATTCATGAAAAATAGGTATATTGACAAGGAGTGTGTCTGCGGTAGGTTCCAATAATTTTTGATGCTACATTAAAAAGAAAAAAGCATGCTGAGTGGAAAAAAAAAAAAACATGCTAAAACTGCTTTATTTTATATCTCAAGTTTGAAAAACGATATCTGTAATGTCTTAATGTGTTCATATAGGTAGGAGGAGTAAACTACATCAGATTTGTATAACATAATTTTCATTTATCAATAAAATTGTCTTTGGTTATAATTACAATATGCCCTTTAACATCCAAAATCTAGTAATATCTACATGTTTCTTCTATCAAAACTTCAGTCTTCATGACATTTAAAAATTGCTTTTTGGTCAAACAAATTTTTAAAACATGCAGTAACTGGTGTCACTAAAACATTTTGTTACTAAACTAACCTTATAAATTTTTTTATATAAAAAATGTCAGATCTTGATTCAATTTTTTTTTTCTCCAAGTTTGGCCAAATCACTGTGGCCACAAGGGTCTATTTTACACCATGTACAAGCCATTTCTTACTAAAACTTTAGTTTCATCGCATCTGCTTATTTTAATAAGCTTATGAAATTAATCGACTCATAGCTTTTAGAGTCATTCACTCCGTCCTCACCAAACAGCTTGAGTTTAAGTCTTGCAAACCAATCGCACTACAATGTGAAAGACTAAAATAGTGAATCTCTAGTCAGTCTGAGATTGTACATATGATAATTTAACTTACTGTAACCAGTTTGGTTCGCTTTAAGTTTTTGAATTGCTGCTCTATCCAAACCCCGAGGAGTCTGCTCATTTTATCGCAGGACCCTTTGATTTAACTCGAGATTTAAAATAAAGTAGTTTGAGCATTTTTTAATTTTTTTTTTCTCATCCATAGCATGTGTCAATTGTTTTTCTATATAGAACAAAAATAAAATAAAATATTGAAATGGTTGTCTATATACTTCTATATATTTTTCATTTTCTTTATCTTGATAATTATGTTCTCTTTGCCTGCTTGTTTAGATTACCATGAGTGAATTGCGTGAGGCAGCTAAAGATATCAAAGTAACACCTGACGAAGGCTTCCTTCCGAATGGATGCATCACAACCAACTGCGTCTCAGAAATTTCCGACCAAGACATCAGTAGGATATGGGGAGGGGATCGGAGGCTTTCCCTGTTTAGTTACACTATTGAAACTATCACGATGCTCATCCTTCCTATGTTGAAAACAAAGTAAGTTAGTTTTGTTTGTTTTAAATATTAATGGTTATGATTTGGTCATGATTTGCATATTTTTATTTAGTTTTTTTGTTGATTATAACAATGTTATTAAGTTTTAGTCTGTCACTCTGTTAGTTACATGGGCTTGGAATTTTTCTTGAGTTCAGATTATATTTAGTTTCAATTTATTGTTATTATTATTTAGTTTAGTCATAGGTACATTTTAATTGTTAATTACTGCTCTCCCTTTTAGTCTAATTAATTTCTTTTTGCCAATATTATTCATTTCATATACCGCAACATATTTGCCCAAGTATAAGTCAAGATATTTCCTATAATTTCTCCCATGAAATTAGGGATCAATCTATATTCTGCTTATATATTTGGAATCATCTTATATTTGAGTATGATCAAACTTAAAGTTTTTTGGTCACTTCATAGTTTATTTTTGCACAGTTTTTAATTGACAATAAGTAATAACTTGTTCAGTTATCATAATTATATTAATCATAATAAATTTGTTCAAAATGGAAACAAGGATGCCACTTTTTGATTTATGTCATTCCACTATTTGAAAAAAATTTAATATTAAAAAAAAAGATCTCATGTAAATGGACATACTAAAAAAGTACTTTCCATTCAAAGAAATTTTAAAACAGGATCCTCTCATGACCTAGTACTTTTTCTTTCTATATTCTATGTCATTAAATAAAATTAATTTTGATGTTCTTAATCCTCTATAACTGATTGACATCTTTAAAAAGAAAGATCTGCGTAGAAGGGAAATCATTCCGGAGGGTAGAAAAATTCAAATACCTCGGCTCCACAATAACCTCAGTGAAGGACTAATAGTCAGAAATAGACCAGCATATAACAAGCGCAAACAGAGCTTTATTCTCCCTTTCGAAGGTATTGAAAACCCAAAAAAATCTCAAGACATCCCAAATTAAGGATGTACAATGCTATGATAAAGCCAGTTCTAATATATGGCTGTGAGACCTAGAAAAAAGCATTGAAAGATTTGAGAGAAAAATCCTCTGCACGATAACTGGGGTGATCTGAGATCAGATATAGTACTAACTTATAGAGAAGAGAATCTATTTTTTTTTTATTTATAAATGTTTTGAGCTCTTCAGCCATGTGGGGCCCCTATATTACAATTGAATCAATTTCTACATAGGCATACATAACAAAACTACAGCTAACAAATACAATTTAAAGTTTAAAAAGTTAAAAATAGTTACAGTTGAATATGGTGGCACAATTGAATTAAAATTATAAAAATTGAAAGCTGAAGATTAAAAGAAGATAAGGTAACAAAGACAATTAAAATAAAGATTAATGATTTTAAGAACAAACTCTAAATATACGTTTTTAAAAAATAAAAATTAATATTAAAAGAAGAAAAGTAAACAGTACAGTTTAAATATTAAAAATTATAACAAGAAAAGTTGACAAAAAACATTAAAATTAAATATTGAAGATTAAAAAGAAGATAAGTTAACAAAGACATTTAAATAAAAGATTAATGATTTCAAGAATATAATCTAAAAATACGATTAAAAAACTAAAAATTAATATTAAAGGAAGAAAAGTTAAAAAGTAAAATTTAAATATTAAAAATTACAAGAAGAAAAATTGAAAAATCATTGAAATTAAAAATTAAGAAATTAAAAGAAGAAAAATTAACAGTTATATTTACAATTTGAAGAACCTACAAATTTAAAAAACTTAATAGGTATATTTACAATTATAAGATGTGATTAAATTTTGTACAAATTTGTAAATGCGATTACAATTTTGTGAAATATTTTGATTTCCTTAAGGAACAATATTAAGTTTTTAATAGTATTGGGGTTCTTTCGGAGTGATTCTTCAAGACTATTTCTGAAAAGATGTTGGTCCTTAAGAGTGTAAGATATGGTTCACTGTGAGAAGTACCCCGGAGGAAATACATTGAGTAGGAGAGTCTTTCCTCATTAAATACTCGTGGGTAAGTCTAGTATGTTCGATACGTAGCCGGGTCAGTACCACCTTTTCCCTTCTGGTCAGCAGGATATTTGGAGTGACTCTCCGGACGTGTGGCTCTGCAACCCTTAGCTTATTGTCTCTTGTGGCAGACTAAGTTCTTTGCCAAGCCAACCATGATTTTTCTTTGATTAAAGATACAGCTTCAGAAGGTTGAGTGGTGATGATTGGTTGACCATCTTTGATAGCTCTCTTGGCCATACTATCTGCCATCTCCACGCCTTTGATCTCGACATGACTTGGTAACCATTATAGAAGAGAACCTATAAAGAGCTCTTAATAGAGCTACTTATAGTAATTGGTCAATCATGATATGAAGGCACGAAGGTTAACATGGTCGAGGCATGTAGCTGGGAGCAATCCACCTGTAAGCCTCATTTAATTTCACTGTGGCCAGAGATAAAAAAGGAAGAGCAGACATTTACAAATTTTTTTTGAAATTCCAGCCCTCTTTTAGTTTTTGAATGCATGAATTAGCCTTTCATTTTTATATTTTTGTGATTTCATATTTTTTTTTTTTATGTGTATTTCTTCATATATGTAAAGATGTTCTTTACGATCTTGTGTAAAGTTTTTTTTTTTTTTCATTTCATTTCTGTTGTATCAACTCATCATTTAATTTTAGACACCCCCAAAAATATGTGAAATACCGTCGGGAATAAGTGCAAAACCCGAGCCAGCGGGACCACAGTTGGGCTTGGGACCGCTGTGCTACCGTGGCAGGCTAAGTAATTATATATAATATTAACTGTAATTAAATTCTTCTTTCTTATTTTATATATTACATTTTAATGATACAGTAGAACTTCGATTAACTCTCACTCGTTTATCTCTCAGGTTCTTCTAACCATCGTTACAATAGAAGCTAAATAAAGGTGGGTATTTTTTTCAACTTATGGTGTAAGTTCGAATGAAAATATTCACAAAAAAGTAGAAAAATTACATATTGTACAAGACTACAAAGAATAATTGAACCATTTTCTTCTAATGTGGTGTAAATCTATTTTATATTATACTAGTACAATATAGTATAATTATATACTAATATAAATATAATTCTCCTAGGAGAACTCTCACATTATATAGCTATTCTCCCTAATGCATTTAACATATAAGTGACATCAGCGAAACATATTTATTCGTTTATATCATGTAATATTACATATTTAGCCATGATAGTTAAAGTAACAATTTACTTAATAAGTGATCAGCTTTTCTCACTGGAAAATATCACTCCAGTTTATTGGTTGAGCGATAAGATGCACCTGTCGCTGAACTTTACTAATCCATTATTTTACTCACTCAAGACCATGGTTTGTAGCTGTCTCACTTACTAAGATTATAGAAATATATTAGGGAGACCGGAAAGTAATGTCGTTTCTGAGCATGTCACTATTTGATTGTCATTTGTTAGCTCATTATGTACCTCTTTCTTGTGACAGAGACATTCTAAAGTTGTAGTGATTTGTTTAGTTGCTAATAATTAAATTAAAAATTTGTTTGAGAAGGAGTTGGTCTGGGGTTGTGGTCAAATAAATACTAAATTTTAAAAAATAATATTTTTAATTGTTACGCCGACGTTTCGACTCACCTTGCAGGTCTTCATCAGGGCTACAAAAGATACAAAATATAAAAGGTACATGGTGAAAATAAAATAAATGAATTATAAGTAGATATTAAATAAGAAACAGTTGTATGATAAAGAAATAATAAGATGACATCAGAGATATAGTGGGTGACAGTGTAGTTAAAATATCATATATTATATATATAGAAGATACAAACAAAAATAAAAAATAAGTATGAATAAAAATAGAAAACAAAGGAGAATATAGCATGTAAGTTAAATGTAAACAGATTGTGATAAAAGATAAGAAATGACTGTATAACAAACTGGTAAAGATTACATTTGATTAATATAGGTTAACAAATAAAGAAAATGAGTGTTGAAAATTGAAAATTGAATAAGTAATGATTTAGTAAATCTAAAATAAGAATAAGATAACATAATAATAAGATATCAGTGAATAACAAGCTAGTGGAGGTTACATTTGATGAATGTAGGTAAACAGATAACGAGGCTAAAGGTTAACAAATAAAGAAATTGAAAGATTAATAGGATACAATTTTTTTTTGCAATTTTTGGTGAATTGGCCCACCAAATAACAGAAAAGGTACATTATCCGGCATTCTATGCTTCTTGAGTTTAACAAGGATAGTAACACAACAGTTGCTAACACAAACATTTGTGATGTTAAACGCTTTAGACGTTCATAAATGCCAAAGATGGTTTTTCTTATTCAAATCTGGTAATTTTGATCTTTCCGACTTGTATCGATCAGGAAGACCAACCAAAGACAATGCCATGTTAAGGATGGAAGTTGAAGCAAATTCGTGTCAGACAATCGAAAAATTGCCAAATAGTCTTAACCGACCGTGGTCGACCATCCAAGAACATTTCCAGCAGATTAGGAAACCATGATATGCAACTTACTGCTTCAATGGCCCATTGCATGAGCATTTTTTGATCGCTTGCTCACCGGAGATGAAAAATGGATCCTCTATGATAATCCAAAACGCAAAGGCAGTTTTTCTCTCCAAATGAATTGCCATGAAGTACTGCTAAACCAGGTTTACGCCTCAAAAACTTCTTTTTGTGTGTTTGGTGCAGTATTTGCGGCATTGTTCATTTTGAAGTGCTGAAACCTTGACAAACTGTGAATGCAGACCTTTATTCTGAACAATTGAATCTTTAATTGAAAAGTGGCCAGCGATTATCGATAGAAAAGGAATTATTCTGCAAGATCACACTGCATAAGACGAATCCTGGAAAAATTATTGAATTAGAGTGGGAGGTAATGCCTCATCTACCATAATCGCCCAATGTTGTACCATCAGATTTCCATTTGTTTGGATTGTTTCAACACTTTCTAAGTCGCAAAAGATTTGCAAATTTGAATGATGTCCAAAATGTCTATCTATATATTTTGCTCAAAAATCAATTGATTTTTATCGATTCTACATTGAAATTTTGCACACTAGATGGCAAAAGGTTGTAGATAATGAAGGTGACTCCATCAATGATTAAAAATAAAAACTCATGTGAAATTTATGTGTTTGACCTTTATATTACATTTAACCTTTATATGATCTCCCTTAAATTACAGAGCCGTATCTGGATATTTTTTTATTTATTATAAATATCAAAAAGTTTCTTTCTATATTATCTGAAGTGCCCAAGGGGGTCATAGAGCTATTATCCTTCATTCGTCTTTTTAATAGAGTTTAGTTTGTCCAAGACCATCTTAAATGGCACTATTTTAATTTTTAAAATCTGAACTTTTTACAAGTATTCCATATCCGTTTGATTAACTTTAGAGAGAATTTTATTACCTTTTAAATAAGTGCCTATTGCTGCTCTGGAGACGTATAGTTTTCAAGTTATATTTGGAGAACAATTTTTCTGTTACTTAGGGTAAGAAACATTCCAAAGCGAGCGTAAGGAAAACTACCACATAAAAATATATTTATATCTTCATAGGCATTGTCGTTTCTGAGATACAGTAATCAGTAGGTCAGTGAGTGAAATGCATGTTTTTATTTTATATAGAGAGATTAAAATAAGAGTCAATTAGTTGCTTTATATGTGAAGGTATTTTTATAATGATATTGGTATCGTTTTTCTATTCCTTTATCCATGATGTCCTTGGTTCCGATAGTGACATTTAATCGAAGTTTTACTGTACTTTTTTTTTTAAAAATTTTTTCTTCTTTTTTTTGGTAACATTAAAATTATTTTATTCCAAAGTAATTTCCTATTCATTATTATTTTTTTTTTTAATCTAAATTTATTTATTAAGTTATGTATCTTACATAATAATGTTTAATTAAAAATCATAACAAGGAACAAGATTAGAACAATTTTTAACATATCTTTAGAATCAAAAACTAACATTTGTTATTATTTTTGTTATAAATTTTTAAAATTTAATTTTAAACATAAATTAAAATTTCTGTTGACAATTAGGAAAGAAGCTCTTGGTTCTATGGGAAACGATGCCCCATTTGCTTGCCTCTCTCAATTTGAACCTCTTTTATATGATTATTTCAAGCAGTTGTTTGCTCAGGTATTTTTTCCATTTATTTGCTAATAGTTTTGCAAACTTTTAAGTTATTAATTGTACTCCATTATTTACTTTAAATAATATCTTTTATTTAATATCTTTTCTCTACCAGGTTACAAACCCACCGATAGATCCATTCAGAGAAAAAGTGGTGATGTCTCTATTATGCCCAATCGGCCCAGAAGCTAATATTCTTGTACCAGGTGCTGTACAATGCCATAGGTTGTTCCTTCCTCACCCAATAATATCTCTTCCTGATCTTGAGGTTTTGAAAAAGAACACGCATAGAGGATGGAGGGTATGTATTATCAATTAAAGTTTGTTGTGTGAGATTATAAATATGTTTATTCTTAGTGCAATTTTTCGAGGTTTCATTATTTTAAAGAAGAGTTTCTTATAATAAATAAAACCAGAAATAAGATAAACAAAAAAATTGTTGAGTTGGAAGTAAAATTTATCCAGAGATCCTTTTGTGAAAATTAGTTTTTTTGTTTTTGCTAGCTACCTGCTCCTAAACTATGCTTCAGTATTGAAAAAGTGTAAAGTCTTCAATAATTACTATTTAATTATTAATGTAGTTAATATTTTTATATTGACTGTTCCAAGACTGTTTTCGAATGTTAGACCTATTTACTTTTGGATTTAATCGTTCTCTTTAATAAAGAAATGAATTTTACTTCTAAAACAAATCTGCAGATTCATATATTTTAGCTTAATTAAACGATGTTAAAATCTCTATTTCGTAAAGAGTATTTACTCTCAAATGAGGCTTCAAAATCTGCTAACTAGAAGTACCACTTTATATCATCAATTTTATAAATTTTTACAATTTTCTCGAAAACAGTTTTACGAAAAAATTAAGTGATTAACAAAAGGGAGGAAAAGGAGAAACATTTTCTTAGGTTGAAGAAAGCAAATTTCAAGAAATAAGAGTAGCAATATTTAATATATCGTTGAGAAGCTAAAGATTTTAGAAACATTATTATCTATCATATAAAGTAGTAGAAGTTAATGAATAATAATGAAACAATTATGAATAATAATTTTGGAAAAGTGATATTAATTTAAAGTAATTAATAAATTAAAAGTAATTTAATGGAAAAACAAATTTGAAAATTCCCAAACTAAATGTAAAATTTTACAATTATTTTTAATGATGTAGAGATGGTTGACCGTTGATATGAGAAGGAGTTGATCGGGGGGTTGCGGTCAAATTAATACTAAATTAAACAAGCATAATTATTTAATTTTTGCCAACGTTTCGACCCACTTTGCAGGTCTTCATCAGGGTGTAGCACTGCGGGACGCAGTTGAAACATTGCTAAACACAAACTAAACACTGCCAATGTTTCAACTGCCTCCCGCAGTGCTACACCCTATGCCTTGATGAAGATCTGCAAAGTGGGTTGAAACGTCGGCAAAAATTAAATAATTATACTTGTTTAATTTAGTTCAGGGAAAATTGGCAATCCTGGTTAGACGCTCCCCTACGCTGAAAGGCACTACAGGATGATGCAAAAGAAGAAGAAGAAGTTTAATTTAGTATTAATTTGACCGCACCCCCCGATCAACTCCTTCTCAAATTATTTTTAATTCTCATCCATAGACTTCTAGCTTTGGTGCTTCCCTTACTTGACTGTCTGTATTTATTCCTTATTGGAAATACAGCCTTCCATTGATCTGCTTTGTTCCAGCCGTGACCTCTGTTTGCCAGTTTATATGTTTTGTGGTCTATGACTGGGTTGAGTGTTTAACAATGTTTTAAGTTACAATTGTGAAAAGGACTTATTGGAATATATTTCAACTTTTCTCAGCTATATATTTTTACAGATGCATTTTAGTAATTCTTATCATAAATATGGAACTTTGCACCGGTATAATGACATGTATTATATTTTATAATTGCAGACAAAGGTAGTGGATATAACGTTTGACAAAGATGAAGGACCATCAGGATTACAGAACACTCTAAATAGAGTTTGTGAAGAGGCCAACAACGCTGCCATTGAAGGTTATCAACTCATCTGTTTGTCAGACAGGACTGCCGGAGCTCAAAGGTATTCAAAATTTTCTTATATTTAATCTTTAATCTTAATCATTTCATTTCATTTTACCTTTGTGACTAAAATAAAATTAATTTTTAATTGGTTTTCAGAGTACCCGTCAGCGCACTTTTAGCTCTTGGTGCTACACATCACCACCTGATTGAGACGAGGCAGAGAATGAAGGTGGGGCTTATCTTGGAAACTGGAGAAGCCAGGTTTGTTTCATTATTTTACATTTTCAATTTAGTTCAGTCAGATTTTCCATAAAATTTGTAAATGATTACAAAAATATCTTGTATGTCCACTCACACGACTTTCCTACCTATTTCAGAAAAGTTTTTATATCTTTACATATGTTCATGAAGAAACAAAAAAGAATTGAACTAGATACATTTTCCTGAAAATTGATCAAACATAACATTTGAGTACGATTTATTTGATAAACTAAAGCAATGTTAACGGGCTTAAGATAGATCAGTGTAAAAATTTCAACACTTCTTAATATTGCTGATCAAAAACTTTTTGCCATAGCTTAGTATTGTCAAACAATAATTTCTGTTAAAATTAGAGGAAATAGTGAAGATTGTGTTATGCGGGCAACAGATTTTCTTACTTTCACTTAGTCATCTTTATTCTCTCATTCACCCCTTTCTGACACCAGAATATGAAACCGTAATCTTACATTGGAAATTGAATAACTGCAACTTCGTTAATAGTTGTCCAAAATGAACGATTTTTATATGGCTTTGTAGCGAATTTTATTACCTTTCAAACATCAGGCTAAACGGCGTATGGAGCACCGAATTTCTGTCACAGGTATCCATAGTCAAAACCCTACAAAATAAAAAAAGAAGCAACAAAATCGGTTCAGTAGTTCCCGAGAAAATCTTGGCACAGACAGATAGACCAATGGCTAAAAATTTGTTTTTCGGACTCAGGGGGCTCTGAAACGTATAATCCGTCGAAAGCCGCATGTCGGAAATTTGTCCCGATTGCAATACTTTCCTTACCTAGTATAGTTAGGAAAGTAAAAAAACAACTAAGGTGTGTGATTTAGACCACATGATAGAAGTGAAAACATCAACAAGGCGAGATTAATGAAATATAATATTTCCTTGAATATTTCCCTTGCTTACAGTATGTAGGTCCAATTTTTAGTTTCTGAGATATTTTAATCCATATCTTCCATAAAACTCGTTATCATTTGGTTTTCGACACTGTTTTTCCCCTTTCAGCTCTCTAACACGGCATCACATTAAGATACAGTATTGAATAATAGCCTATTACAGGAAGGATGAAATGCTGAACAATTCCTTGCTAACAATAAGTAGGTCCGATTTTTATTTTTTGAGATATTTTAATTCATATGCAAAAACGACTCCAGCCGACTTTACCCAAGCATTACACATTGGAAATCTGACGGCTCAATCTAATTCACTCTCTACAAAAAAGTGCATTATGCGCCTAAAGAAGTTTTCACTTCAATTAAGGCAGTTATGGTTTTTTGATCATACATGTTAATAAATTGACAGAAATACTGAAAATGTATGAATGAATTAGAACTATTTCTTTTTATTTTCTAAACACGATATGTCTCAGTGTCAATATGATGTGGTATCAGTTTCATCACAAATTTTCTCTTCTCCAAATTTATTGTTTCAAGATAAATAACCAGTTTCTCATTGGTCTCAAAAATTCGGTAATTTAAAATAGTGAAAAAGTCCAGAAAATATTATTTGTTAGCACAATACTTTTATAAATATTGGATTATTTGAAAAAAAACAACAATTTTTAAATGTTATATTACTAATTTTATATATTTATTTAGATAATTTAATTGATTCTATTGATTTTTTAAAAATTAATTTCATTTCATTTTATAACCTACCAGCGAAATATTTTATATTTCATCGATCAGCCACTGATGATCTTGGTATTTAGCATTTGAAGCATCAAAACAACCAAACAATTATTATGCTGTTTTTTTTTCCTCAATAATATGTCTTTTCCCTTTCAACTTCTCTTTAACGGACACTCTTCTCTAATGGACAATATATCACTCCCCATAGGTGTCAATTATATTGTAGTTTCACTCTAGTTAGTCCTAAAGATTTTTCCTGTTAAATATATATATATAGTATGTATTGTTATGTAATCAAATTGATATTGAATATATATTGCAGAGAGGTCCACCATATGTGCGTGTTACTCGGCTATGGTGCTGATGCCATTTGTCCTTACTTAGTGTTTGAAATGGTCAGGAGTCTGAGGGAAGAGGGTGTATTTGATCCTTCGTTTACAGATCAAATATTGTATACCGTGAGTTTCAATACTATTTTCAATTTTTTATTATTTTTATCACACCTCATTTAATGTTTTTCATTTGACTTAAATTTTTTTTTTTCAGAACTATTCAGAAGCTATGGAAAGAGGTATAGCTAAAGTAATGGCCAAAATGGGCATATCTACACTACAATCTTATAAAGGAGCCCAAATCTTTGAAGCAGTCGGCCTTTCTGATGAAGTCATTGACAAATGTTTCAAAGTATGTAATTATATACTTTATATGTATATATTATTTGTTTCTTTATATTTAGGTAATTATTCTTTTAATAAAGCTTTTATTTATTTTATAGGGGACTCCTTCAAGAATAGGTGGGATTAGTTTTGAAATTTTAGCCAATGAGACCTATGAGAGGCATTACCTTGCTTACACAGACAAAGATAACCTTGTTTTGAGAAACCCGGGTGTTTACCATTGGAGGATGGGAGGAGAGAAGCACATAAATGACCCGCTAAGTATTGCGAATCTCCAGGTATTTTTATTTTATTAAATTAGTAAAACATTTTAAAAAATATTATTATAATTCTTAATTTTTACTATTTAACTTTTAAATTTAGGAAGCCGCTGTTAGCAACAATAAAAATGCATATGAGCGATTTAAGGAGTCAACTCTTGAGAGCATAAGAAATTGCACTCTTAGAGGCCAATTGGAAATAGTCTACAGTGACAATCCGGTCGACATTTCGGAAGTTGAACCAGCAGCAGAGATTGTTAAAAGATTTGCTACTGGTAAAAAACTTATAACCGAGATTTTATTGAAATTTACAATTAATTAACCATTGTTAATCTTTTTTTTTTTATAGGTGCTATGAGCTTTGGTAGTATATCTCTAGAAGCCCATACAACCTTAGCTATGGCCATGAACAAAGTAGGAGCCAAGTCGAACACGGGAGAAGGAGGTAAATGAGATATTGTCAAAGTTCAATTAACTAACACTTTTATTGCTCCATATAGGAAGTTTCCTAGAAATGTTTTTATTTATTTATAAATAAACGTTTTATATGATTGTTTAATCAAAAATATTATTTATAAAACATGAATTTGGATTAAGCACTCCATAATGCTATACATTTATTGAAAATTAGGTAAAGCCGAATAACACATTCCCCTTCTATTACCTTTGCCATGTTATAATTCAGCAATAAAGATTTTACATCTTACAAGGTGCTAAAATTACATTCCTTGAAAACTCAAAACCTTAATATTATTTTGTAATAAATGATGATTTTACGATTAACCCTAATATAATTTTTCAGGTGAAAATGCGGAGCGCTATTTGAATCAAGATCCTGAAAAGAATATGAGATCAGCAATTAAACAAGTTGCTTCTGGAAGATTTGGAGTCACAAGTTCGTATTTGGCGCATGCTGACGATTTGCAGATAAAAATGGCCCAGGGTGCAAAGCCTGGTGAGGGTGGTGAACTTCCAGGATATAAGGCAATTTTTTTCGTTACTTTTTTCTTATTTATAACACGTTTTAATAATAATCCCCACATATATTATATTAAAGTAAGGCTCGAAGTCGGTTTTGTACCAAATATAAGCTCCTGTTGTGCTCAAATACCATGAATGGTGTACCGTTGTATTTAGAATTTCATTGGGGGTTAGCGAATCGTATTCTCGATTTTTGTTTTTCTTTCTAAAATAAACAAAGTCGATACAAACATTTTGCTAGGCTTCAATACTGGAACGGTGAGAAGTCTGTTGATCGATATGGGACAAATTGGGCTTTGAATATTTTGATGCGTACAGCAAGACCCGGATAGTTCATTCAAAACTATCAGATCATGCGTTTTTAAGCCTAAAAACGTACTATTTTCGAGATAATGCTAGGCATAGGGTTCGCATCCACACAACCTTGCGTTAATTGTAGTACTGTCATTGAATACATGTATCATTTCGTCGACTTGAGGCCTCTATGATCGAGAGATGAGGAGTTTATATTATTTATCGATGGTGTTTTTGATCGGCTAGCCATATCATCGTTAATTCTTCACCAAATCTCAAGATTGAACACCAATTTTAAAGGCTTCCTTCTCCTTCAGGTGGGCAAAATAGTCCAATCACCACGAAAATTCAGGCAAACAAGTTATGAAAGAAAAGAAACTTTATTTGTGAATAACTTAAAATTTCCACACTTTTGATTATCTAAAAGATTAATAAATTCCCAACAAAAGGAAAAAAAAAAATCATCGAAATAGGACAATTTTTAGCAAAGATACAGCTTATATTATACAGAAATTTGTAAACATATTGGTTTCAAACATTAATGAAGTTTTAAATTAATTTTTATTTCTTTTGTCGATTATATTTATCGATGATTTGGCATTCGATCACTTAACAATATGCTGTGCGAATTTTTCGCACAGGCCTACTAGTAGCTATAATTTTACATTTATATGTTATAATATATATTTTCTAAACGTTTTTAGAACAAAATACAATGATCCTTTTTTTAAATTAATTGTAAATGATATAATATGTTTAGGTTACAAAAGATATAGCCAAGACAAGGCACTCTGTCCCTGGAGTAGGCCTGATATCGCCTCCGCCTCACCATGACATTTACTCTATTGAAGACTTGGCAGAATTAATTTATGACTTGAAGTGTGCCAATCCGAATGCTAAAATCTCTGTTAAATTGGTCTCTGAAGTTGGTGTTGGAGTCGTTGCTTCAGGTGTTGCCAAGGTAGGTGTTTAACATGTTAAAGTTTATTTTTTTAAGACATATTTTCATTACACATTTGTAAATAACCTGTTAAAAGTTAATTTTAAATATTCTGTTTGGCGGGAATTGTAAATATTCCTTCCATTTATATCGGGGAACTATGTTATTTACACTCGTGAATATTAAAACAAAACCCAGCGGCACTGGATATAGACATTTTGAGGGTGTTTAACTGTTGTTGGGAATTCGGGGAACCTAATACTTTTGTGGCACTGAGTGAGAAGAAGCAATAAGAATATATGTATATGAAATGTAGGACTGGGTAAATACACTTTGAATGAATTGACTCATCTAGTTTGTTATTCTTCAATTGTGAGGCCTATGGGACAACTAAATAAATAAATGACTTTTCACTCCTGTCTAACAAAAAAATTTATTTTACAACTGTAATAAGTGAATCTATTAAAGTCTTATAACTGTAGGCTTGATATTCTTAGTCTTCAATGTAGTGATATTCTTAGACTTCTCTTCTCAGATAACGTCATTTCCCCTTCATGCCCCAGCCTCAAGTGCCTTCTCTTCTCATCAGCCTCCTTCTCCAGCTGTTGCTACCTGCTCCGTCCTTTTCCTTCTTCCTTCCTCATCGATTGTTTATCGATATGAGACTTTTCAATGAATAATTTGTCCACTGCACAATTGAGTACAATTCATCGTGCAACCTCACATTCCTATATATTCCTTCTCATTCCCTCACACAATGTCACATAAAGGAGTAAATCCAGGTGGCTATCAACTATACATTTTTCATTTCAAAAATAATTTGACCTCATTAGTGTATTTTATATCATTTTGTTAAATTTTTGTAGGGCAAAGCTGAGCACATTACTATATCTGGTCATGATGGTGGAACTGGAGCCAGCTCATGGACTGGTATTAAGAATGCAGGCCTGCCGTGGGAGTTAGGGATTGCAGAAACCCATCAAGTTCTTGTGTTAAATAACCTCAGGTCCAGGATAATTTTGCAGGCAGATGGACAAATCAGAACTGGTAAGACCGAAATTACGAACAGATTTTTTTAAATACTCTAGAGCAATGTTTTCTACCAGTCTTGAGTTCCTCGAACAAAGACTAAGAAGTCTGTTGTATGTAATTGAAAAATTATTTTTGCAAATAGCATATAGTCCAGTCAATGAATGATTATACAAGGAAATGGTGGCGAAATAATTTTTAACTTTGTGACATTGTCTGGTCTATTAAGGAGGTAAACATACTAAAAGTCTCCATTCCTAGGTGGTGAGCCAAATATGGGAGAGCGCCTAGTAGATCACTTTTTTCAGGGTTTTCGTTTATATCAGGAAAACTATCCATCGCATTGAAAAAGATATTCTGTACAAAATTAAAGCTGATAAAATTTTCAATATAATTGATTTACCTTTTCTTGCCATTTCACTTAGTTTCTGAGTTATCCATCCTCAACTATCGCTAATGTGAAAAAAAAAAATCTCATGTTTTTTAAATTTATTTGACTAGCTAACTCTTGATTGCTTCTTCCTACGATTAAGTCGTGAGGAAGAAAGTTTTTAATAATTAAATTTCCTTCAAGAATATATATTATTTTACTAGTTTATCTCGAACGGTTCAAAAGTTAGATCAATTATAACTTTATATGTCAATTCCGAGAATTTGCTGAAAAAAATAATTTTTATAATATTTGTTATTATTATATTCCTCTAAATCTGTGTGTGTGTGTGTGTGTGTATATATATTGTATATATTGTATATATTGTATATATTGTATATATTGTATATATATATATATATATATATATATATATATATATATATATATATATATATATATATATATTGTACATATATACAATAATGTTAATTATACAAATTATTTTTTTCCACAAATTTTCGGAATCGACATATAAAGTTATAACTGATATAAATTTTAAATTTTGAACCTTTGAAGATCAACTAGTAAAATAACAGATATTCTTGAAGAAAATGTAATTATTAAAAACTTTCTTTCTCATTATTTAATCGTAAAACGAAGCAATCAAGAGTTAGCTAGTTAAATACAGTAAAAAAATGAAGTAAAAAAATTTTTTTTCCACATTAGTGATAGCTGAGGACGACGGATATCTCGGAAATTAATGTAGTGAAAAAAGCTATATAATCATTTATATTGTAAATTTTATCAACTTTAATTTTGTATAGACCATCTTTGTAGATGCAATGGATAGTTTTCCTGATATAAACGAAAACGTGAAAAACAAAAATAAACACATGACGATTTTTTTTTTTTTCAAAATTAGCCATAGTTGGGGACGGATATCTCGTTAAATAAGCGAGATAGTGAAAAAAGGTATATAATTAATCATATTGCAAATTTTATCAGCTTTAATTTTGTATAGAACGTCTTTGTCAATGTGGTGATGGATAGATTTCCTGATATAAGCGAAAACTTGAAAAAAATGACTTACTAGGCGCCCTTCCACATTTGGCTTACCACCTAGGAGTGGTGACTTTTATTATTGTTTAACTACTTACTAGTCCAAAAAATGTCCCAAAGTCAAAAGTTGTGTTACCGCCATTTCCTTCTATACCCCCTTTTCGAGCATTCATTGACTGGAATGATAATGAAGTATCAAATATGGAACCTATCGTTCGAGAAATAAATGTGCTCAAAGGACAGATTCAATTTGTTGTGTTGAGTTAGGAATAATAGTCAATTTATTTATTAGTATGAATATGAACTAAATAATTAATTTAAATAGACTTACTTAATACAGAACTTAAATTGACTGGTTGCAGTAGTTTTATATTAATGTTACCAGAGAAAAATGGGTTAACAAAAATTTTACTCTAATATAAGACTTAAAAGTTGCAAAACCTTGAATGTTTTGAGGCATTTTTGTTATGAAATGCTAAAAAGCCTTGTTTTTGCAACTTGAAAATTCATTACCTGAGTTGTTTAACTGATCTTTTAATTAAAAAGGCAAAGTAATGGCATTTTATATTTTAAAACTTTTTTTTTTGTAAATGCATCCATTTTTCAGATTATTATTGTTAAAGTTCTGAATGCCAGAAATCATAGTTCACATAGTGACACGTCATAAAATCTAATTCTATGTTATCTTCTTTGAACACCATTTTTACCTTATTTTTAGTATCTGTTTTAAATGTTTTTTAGAAACATAAATTCATGTTTATACATAGTGAAATATTTTTTTGTAGGTCCAAGAAATAATTTTTACTTAATAGATTTCAGTTCAGGGACAATTTGTCTATATATAATAATGTTTATAAAAGTTTCCGTAGCTGTTTAAGAAGAAAAACAAATTTTACAATTTTGAAAATTTAGTGATTTTTTTTTTCATTAAAGCAAATTAAAGGGGAACCATATAAACATTTTATTATGAACCACTGCTTTAGAGTATATTAGCAAATTTTCTTCTGTTGAATATCAAGTTTACTAATAAATAATCTTTTTTTTTTTTCAGGGTTTGACGTAGTGGTTGCTGCTCTCCTCGGAGCTGATGAGTTTGGTTTTAGTACAGCTCCATTGATCGTCATGGGATGTACGATGATGAGGAAATGCCATCTTAACACATGCCCTGTTGGTATCGCCACTCAGGATCCAATCTTACGGAAAAAATTCAGCGGAAAGCCAGAACATGTTATTAACTATCTGTTCATGCTAGCTGAAGAAGTATGTATTTAGTTAATTTAATCATTTTTTATTTAACTTTATAAATTTGATTAAATAAACCTTGATGTATTAGCCAGTTTGTAATAACAGTTGAGTTTTATTGATGTTTATTATTTATTAATGTATGTTTTCTTGGAGCGATCAGATTTCTAATAATTTGAGGAGAAGGACCAGCAAAGAACTGCTTATGGAAACTGATCAATCAATACTTTCTGATACAAAGGCAAGGATGTTAAGATGGGTGGGAGGATAATTTATCTAGAATTTCATAAACCATATTTATAAATCGAATAAACAAAGATACAGTAGAGTTGCGTGCAGATAATTGGAAAGAAACAGCCCAAGATAGGCAGAGTTGGAGAAGGCTGGTTAAGCTGACAAAAGATATACAAGGTCAATAAGGCCAACAGAAAAAAAAAAAACAACTAAGGTGTGTGGTTTAGACCACATGATATAAGTGAAAACATCAACAAGGCGAGATTAATAATATGAAGTATAAATTATAAATAACAGCTCATTGCAAAAAAGATGAAATACTGAACATTTCCTTCCCTTACAGTATACAGAAACGATTTTTAGTATCTGAAATATTTTAATCCATATGTTCAACTAACCTTATCATTTGGTTTTCAACATTATTTTTTCCTTTTCGCCTCCCTAACATGGCGTCACGTTTAGATACAATTTTGAATTATAGGCGCCTATTTTAGAGAGGATGAAATGCTGAACAATTTCCTTGCTTACAGTATGCAGGCCCTATATATAGTTCCAGAGATCTTTTAATCCATATGTAGAAATATTTTAATTAGACCACTCTGGGAGTATCCAGTAGACATGTTGCTGACCAAATAATTGGGAAAGGGCAGTTGAGAGGGCCAAGGGCAGCTTCAGGCGCCTGTTGAGCCGATAAATAAGTAAATAAAAATGAATAACGATATTTATTTTTACAAACTACATGTTTTAAATATCCCATGGTGACCATAGTATATTTAGCTAGGAGACTATCGCAAGAATCATATTAGGCCGGTATGTTATCCGTAGCTTCCTTGAACTGGAAAAAGAATATATACTACTGAATTGTTGATTATTAAACTAATTGATATAAATCTAATATATTTTGAAATAAATTATGAAACTATGTTCTTATCAGTTAGCCTTTAAATTAGTTCTTTTGGTTATAAATTGTATTTTTGTCTTAGATAAGAACAATCATGTCTCAGTTGGGAATCAAGAAATTTCAAGAATTGATTGGCCGCACCGATCTCTTAAAACCTTCCGAACACACCAAGAGCCCTAAAGCCAAGCTACTTTCATTTGCTCCACTTTTGAAAAATGCTTTGCATCTCCGCCCTGGTGTTAATATCGTTGGAGGTTCTGTGCCTCAGGTAAGATTATCAATGCTTTGATCGAATGAGATTAGTAAATTATTTTTGTTTTATGGTTTCATTTTTCTCATTTTATTTATTTTTTCTATTTGAAGGACTTCCAACTAGAAAAGAGAATCGACCAACCGATAATCGAGCAATGTATGCCTGTGATAAATGGTGAAAAGGAACACATTGATTTGGAACTAACAATTAACAATGAATGTCGTACGTTTGGTGCAACATTGAGTTACCATATTTCAATGTAATTTTTTATATATATATTTCTATTTTTTCCTTAATTTATTTATTCTTTATGAAATTAGTAACATGCCTTATTTTTTAGAAAACATGGTGATGCTGGCTTGCCTCCTAACAGCATCAACATCAGCCTTAAAGGTTCAGCTGGACAGAGTTTCTGTGCATTCTTGACAAACGGAGTGCATGTGACTTTGGAAGGAGATGCCAATGATTACGTTGGAAAGGTAACCTAATTATTTAGTTGTTGTTTATTACTTAAAAATTGAAATATTGAAGTTTTTCAGTATATATTTTAAATATTCAATTCATTATAGTTATATAATTATATTCAATGAATCTTGTTTTTAAAGGGACTTTGCGGAGGTGAAGTAGTCATTTACCCACCCAAAACTTCAGACTTTGATTCTGGTCAAAATGTGATCGTTGGTAATGTCTGTCTGTACGGTGCGACATCAGGAAAGGCATTCTTTAGGGGTATTGCTGCTGAAAGATTCTCAGTCAGAAATTCTGGAGCAGTGACAGTAGTCGAGGTGATTATTATTCATTTTTATCCAATTTTTCATTTTGTTATTGTTTGAATTCATTATAATTATTATTTGACTGATGCCTAGGGCGTTGGTGATCATGGCTGTGAATACATGACTGGTGGCTGTGCGATTATTTTGGGACTGACTGGTAGGAATTTTGCTGCTGGTATGTCGGGTGGCATTGCCTATGTTCTCGATATAGATGGATCTTTCAGAGGGTATGCACTGTTTTGTTAATATTTTATTTCTATATATTATTTTAAAATATAATTTTTTTAAAAACTATTTAGTTAAATTGATTACTTAAAAAAATTAAGTAATTATTACAAATATTACTGTAAAATATTCCAAATTATTACACTATGGTCACTATCATTTAAGGCAGGGATCGCCAATCTAGAAATTGCGGGCACCGATGTTTCTATGTGACGCCACTTGTGCCTGCCCATGTCTAACATAACCTTTACTGGCGATCACTATACACAACAGTAAAACTGTTGCCTGCGACTGATTGATAAGTTTCAATGAAATAAAAATACACATTTTAATAAATATCTAATAATTGACTGCAAGTTAGAGGGATTACTTTGAAAATAGTGAATTAATAATATATTTTTTTTCTGTTTTAAAGCGGCATGAGTGCACTGCGGCCATGTAGGCCTATTGTACTCCTCTATTAAAGTCCCTCCTGTTGGAACGTCATTCATTCCTGCAGTCTCAATGAACTGTAATAAGCTTGTTGGATTGATGAACTCGTTTGCTTTGGGATCAGGCACCCTATCAATGCCGAATAATCAGAATCTTAGTCCAGCAAATCTGTCGCACCAAAAAGTAATGTGATAAGCCGTCTCATCTTCCTGGCCTCAGTACCTGCAAAGATACGACTCTGTGAGCCGGAGATTGAACATGTGATAATTCAGTTTACAGTGCCCAGTATATATCGCTGTAATTTTCTTAACAGAGCTCCTGCTCAGATTAATTAGTAGGTTACTTCTTTTTTGACACATTCCTTCCAGAAACAGTCTAGAGTGAGTCTATTTTTCCAAGCATCAGTTCTTTTTAGCTTCAGTACCATAGATCTCCCCAATCCAATAATATCATAGCATTTTCTGTTTTGTTTTTTTCATCATTATTATAGTTTTACGTGTCAGTTGCAGATAGATGAATTTTCAATGTTATGTTTTACGATTTTTTTCTTAAATGTGATATAAATATAAAATTCATTGAAATATAAGTGAACCATTTGAAAATGATATTTCATTTATCGATATAATTACCACTGTTGCTTTGTTTAATTCTTTTATTTGGCAGTAAAAAAAAAATCAATTATACTGTTGGTAACACCTGCTAGTTTTAGAAATGAAATATTAAAGGTGTTTGTAATGAAACGTATTTATTTTGTTTTATTGATTTATTTTACATTATCTTTTTGAATATTATAAACAGTGACTTACTTGCAATGCACATTCACTACTTGCACTATTAAAAAAAAAAATAAAATAAAAAAGAATTGGTGCCCGCTACCTAACATATAACCTATAAATATGCCCACAGGTGAAGAAAGGTTGGTTGGGGACTAGGGGTGGGAGTGAAAACGCCAAACGTTTGAAAAGAACAGTTCTTGATATCAAATGAATGAACTGTTCTTCTAAACGGATAACGTTTCATTCATTTCTAGACCTGTTATTAAACAAATAAGATCCGTTTTAAAACGAATAAGACTGTTATCAAACGAATAGGCTTACTCCATGATTCGTTGCGTTGTTCTATGAACTATTTTTTTGAACACTTCTTAAGAACTTTTGTTATTTGTCTACTATAGTTCATTTACATTTTTTCAAAAGTAGGAGGAAAGCCCACCTCTTTTGAAGACCCGTAATTTAAGGCTTTCAAAATGATTTTCCCTTTTTTCTTAAATAGCTGAGATATGGGTTCATAAAACCTCTAATCTGTCGTCTTATTAGAACAAATGCTGATGGTATTGTTTAATTCAGAGGATTGTCGTGGTGTGACCCTTGACTTTAGTGCAGGCAAACATTTTTTTTTTTTTTTAAATTTTTGATTCTGCTTAATTTCTTTATTTTGGGGGTTAACATTTTTTTTTCGATGACAAAGGTTCATTATCAGAAATAATATGCTAAAAGCCGCGATGGTTATTTAGAAAATAAAGAAGTATTGGTAAAGACATTATTAAATTTTACTAACACATATACAATTTTTATTACAATAATCTTTTGTTTTAAATAAGAAATCCTTATTTGTTTAAATATGTTTAATTGAAATGAAATATATTTATGATTTTTTTTACAGTTTGTTTTAAGTTATGATTTTGGATTTTACAGTAAATGTAATCAAGAAATGGTCGAACTGCTTCCTCTAGAAAAACAGGAAGACCTTGATTATGTGGAATCGTTACTGAAAGAATTTGAAGAAAAGACTTCGTCGCTGATAGCTGCCGATTTGTTGAAAGCATGGCCTCAACCTGCCAAGGATTTCATCAAGGTTTAAAATTTTCTCGTATTCCTCATATACATATATTGTATATATATACGATGTTCCAGTTCTTAATGGCAAAACTCTTGGAAGTGATTCTGAACAAAATTTCCAACAAATAATTTCATGTTGTAAATAACCTATTAAGGGTTAATTGTAAATGACCTGTTTGGTGGCAATAGTCAATATTCCTTCCTCTTTGTCGGGGAACTAGGTTATTTATACTCATGAATTTAATTTTCTTAAAACAAAACCTCGCCTCTGGATATCAATTTTTTGAGGGTGTTTAACTGTCGTTGGGAAATCGGGAACCTAATGCTTTTGTGATACTGAGTGACAAGAAATAATAATAATATATGTATATGAAATGTAGGACCAGGTAAATACATTTTGAATGAATTGACTCATCTAGTTTGTTATTCTTCAATTATGAGGCATATAGGACAACTAAGTAAAAGGAATATTCTCTCCTTTATAACAAAATAATTTATTTCCACAACTGTAATAAATTGAATCTATTAAAGTCTTATAACTGTAGGCTTGATATTCTTAATCTTCAGTGTAGTAGACTTCTCTTCTCAGGTAACGTCGTTCCGCCTTCATGCTCTTGCCTCAAGTGAGTTCTTCTTTCTTCTCTCAGCGTTTTTCAGCTGCTGCTACCTGTTCGGTCCTTTTTCAAGCTTCTTTCTTCGTCGATTGTTTATCGATATGAGACTTTTCAATGAACAATTTGTCCACTGCATAATTGAGTAAATTCATAGTGCAACCTCACATTCCTATATATTCCTTCTCATTCCCTCACATAATGTCACATAAAGGAGTAAATACTGGGGGCTATCTACAACAATTTGATGTATGAGAGATTTCGAATAGAACATGAGTTAAATCCAATTTCATCTTTTCTTAAGGAGGTCATATTTTCTCTTTCATAGGAAGTGGTCTTTCTGAGGAATTAAGGTAATTAAAAATTTCTTTGTAGTAAACTAGATAAAATTGTCTTCAAATACTAGTAGAGTTTGTCTTTGTCATAACTATTTAAAGGAGACTTTTGAGTGAACAAACTACGCTAAGTTATATTTTTCATTAAATCATGAATTATTCACAATATTTTTTTAGAATCCTACAACTATACTCCAAATACTCCACTCTTATAAAAACTTGCTTGTTTAATAAACTTTAAATGCATATCAATATATTTGGATTTATTTTAGATTCACTTCTATTTATGTGAAAAATTATATTGTTTGATATTCTGTCAATCCAGAGTAACTGTATTTTCAGCAAAAATAACAATCAAGAAATTATTACCAAGTTTTGATTCCTTCTTTTTCTTTTCACTTAACATCTATTTTAGTAAATTAATTAAGAAAATACACTTTTTATTAATTTAAATTCATGAACAACACAACTTAGCATAGTTTGGCTGTTCTAAAGTCCCATTTTAATGGTTTTGACAAAGAAAACTCTACCTGTATTTGACGGAAATTTATCTAGTTTCCTATGAATCAATTTTTAATTATATAAATTAAATAGTTTTTGTGTTATCACTTTCTATGAAAGAGAAAACATGTCCACCTTAAGAAAAGAGAAAATTGGACATTACTCCTTTACCTTTCGAAATTGGCCCATACATTGAATTTTTGTCTAGAGTTTGGGCATTAAGGACTGAGTTATCCTGTATATATATATTGTAGTTATTTTGCATGTATTTATTTAAAATTGATTGTTCATAACATTTATTTTTGGTTGGTCATCATAATTTATTTTATTTAATATTAAAATGGATAGATATCTTTGATATATCTAGATAATTTTAGAAGAATCGGTACTGGTTTTCAACTAATGAAATCCTAGACATTCATATATTAGGGTTTATAACCTTCTTTAGATTATAAAAAATTGCCAATCTTGTAATCCAGTTTAGTTTTAAAATTAATTAATAAGGAAGTTAATGCAATCGTTATTATATGGTCAATAAAAGAGTTAATGATTCATTCATTTAGTCAGAGAATCAGTGAATTCTTTATGAAGAAGGTTCATATCTGTATTGAGGTAATAATTTAATTTCAACAAGTGTTGGTGAATTGATTCATGTAGACTGTGAACTAAAAATTTGGATTATATTTATAGTATTTAATACAAGTTCTTTGATAAGAATTGTGTTTTAAAATAATAGCTTAAATTATAAATCATTATAAACAATAAATAAAATAAATTTTTCGATTTAGTTTTTGATTTTTATTCGAAATCGTTTAGAAAACATATTATTTTATTTGCTGATCTAAATATGGACTGAATGAAATACATAGTTTGAAAATATAATACTTTATATATTTTCTCTTTCTATCTAATGATTATTTGTAATAGGTATTCCCGTATGAGTATCAGAGAGCTCTGGCCCAACTTGCTGAAGAAGCAAGTACGAAGAAGATGGAAGGAGATGTCCCAGCAATAGCAAATCACGTACAACAGATTGCTGACATAGAAGAAATAGTAACGGACATTCCTAAAGAGAAAAAGAGACTAGAAAAGACATTAGATAAAGTCAGGTATGATGTTATGAACATAATTATAAAATTTGTTTAAAAAACAAGAATAACTATATTGAATAAAAAATATTCTTTAATTTGAATCGTATTGCGTCTAGACCGAACAGCTCAAAAATATATTTGTACTTTTTTATTCAGCTAATTTTTTTTTGTTAGTTTTCTACTAGTGTTCATAGTTATTCGCGAATTAAACTTTCCTTTATATTTATCATTTTTATTTAGTGAAATTAAAACATGTTAAATCGTTTTTATCTCACTATTTGATTGTCATTTGTTAGCTCATTGTGTACATTAAAGTCATTGCAAAGAAATGATAGTGATTTGTTTAGTTGTAAATAATTAAATTAAAAATTTTTATTTGTAATTTTGGGTGAAATGGCCAGCCAAATACAAGAAGAGGTAGATATCCAGTATTTCATGCTTTCTGAGTTTCACAAGAGTAGTAACGCAGCAGTTGCAATATTTATCTAAATGTTTTTTTGTTTTTTTTAAATCAGCATAAAACACATAACTAATATAGTCATATAGGTATTGATAACAGCTTTAAAAATATAGTATTAAATTGTTATGACATTTTATCATTCATAACTCCATATATTTTTTTTTAATCAGTTTATAAATATAATATGAATGTTTATTTATAAATTCTTTTGATTTATTAGTTTCAATTTTTCGTTCTCAACTGGAATGCTTTTTATAGAACAGTAGGACATTGTTAAACGATGAATCATTGAAAAGGATGTCGTCAATGAATAATTGATTGTAAAAATGTAGTTTGGAGCAACCATTGAACAAAGATTTCATTCATTGAAAAAATAATGAAAAAGCGGAGGTACTGAGTGAATTAAGGTTATCTATCCATTCTTTTGCAAATAGTCCACCGTTGACTTTCTTACTTTAGCTTATGATGTTAAGTACTTTTAGGCTTTTGTGAGTAACAAATTTATTATAGTATTATAAATCTCTTTTATGTTCTTATTTGAACTTTCGTCTCTTTATTAAACAATTAATTTCAAGTCATCATATATCTGGACTGAAAAATTAGAAAATGTGGGCTGGTGCTGATTTTCGTTTAATAATTACTAAGCATTGCTTAAATATTTCATTTTATATTTTAGTGGTGGTTCCTCCCCATAACAATGTATATTATTTCATTTTTGTTGTGGTCATTATGCTGTAATGTTCCTTAGGGGGCGAGAGGGCTTAGGGCGAGAGGGCTAACACATGTGCACAGCACAACTTGTTGCCCGGCAACCTGATAACTGAAGTTATGAATAATAAAATAGTTATGAGTTCGTATCCCGGTGCTGAGGAGGGCTTTTTACTCTGTAATAATCCCTCCCCATCACCTCCTGCCCCGGAAAAACACCTAATATAGCCTAGTATAGCCTAAAAGGTGATAATGGGGAGAACAAAAAAAACTGTATATATAGAATCAGTTTTCTTACTTAGCTTGTTCCACTAGAAAATATTCCTTCAGGTTAATAGTAAAGTAATAAGACTCAACTATTCATGAAGTTTTACAAACTCACTGTTGTAAAATCTAAATGATGTGTGATAGTGTATCCCAAGGCAACCATGACATCTTGGAAGCTTTCAGCTGAAATTACGGTTTATCTGAAAAACTATACATTTTACAATATATATGCTGTGCATATAGAATATATATCAGTTTTTCATTTGTTTTTATTAAATATGAACATGCTTGAAATTATAACAACTTTGTTAAACAATTTTTTTTTGAAATAATAAAAAATTGTTCTCTCTGAGTTTTTCTCTACCATTGTTATAGTTTTTACATTATTGCATGAAAAAATCACTACTGTAAATAGATATCCAATATATCTAAAAAAATGATGTGCTCTAAAGTTTAATAAGTTTTTTACTTTTCCCAAAACTTAGTTGGTGTGAATATTGTAAGTTTTCCATTTTATGCCCTCAAATTTTAATTACAGTTCAAAGCAACAATATTTCAGCAAAAGATTAATTTAAAGTATGATCTAGTTGTTGACATTTTTTGGTGTTTTTATTATAAATAATAACATAACCATCTCATGTTCTCAGGGGCTTTGTGAAGTACTCTCGAGAGACCGGCCTGTACCGAGCTGCAGAGAAGAGGCTGAAGGATTGGGACGAAATTTATAACTTCACCCATGTAAGGAAAGGTCTCAGGGTTCAAGCCGCTAGGTGCATGGAGTGCGGCGTGCCGTTCTGCCAGAGCAGCCATGGCTGCCCGCTTGGTAATATTATTCCCAAGTGGAACGATCTCGTCTTCCACAACAACTGGAGGGAGGCACTAAATCAACTTCTTCAAACAAACAATTTCCCAGGTAACTGCTGTTTTTAGAAGATAAATTTTATCATTAAAAAAGGTGAAGAAATAGTTTACTATAGTTAATATGATTGGGAAGTTTGTTGGTGAGTTGCAATACCACAAAAAAAAAAAAAAAATTATCTCTATTATATGAAAAAGTATTTCGTGAATTTTATATTTTATTTTATTTTAATATTAAGAGAGTAAGAGATTACAAGAGTTCTCCTATTAGCTCTACAATTAGCATTAATTATACAGCTTTTCAATTAATTACATATGTGTTGAGCTCCTGTAACCTCCTACTATCCTGATACATAATAGAGATTTACACCCTGCTGTCTTCGTTAGAGTATTGAGCTCCTATAACCTTTTATTCTCCTAATACAAAATAAAGATTTTTGATCTGAAATTTGTGTGGAAAATCTGGAGGTGGTAGTTTGATTTTACCTATGTGACAGCAGTTATTTTTCAATTTATACATTTTCTCCTTGAATACAATATATTAATTATTATATTATAAATAATATTATTTATATTATATTGTGATATAATAATAATTATTATGACATAGAAAAGGAAAATCAATATAACGTACAATGAAAATATTAGAAATAAAAGACTCGAATTGATGTTGGGCTTATATGAAGGTGAACAAGTTGAATATATATTATGGTTACGAATTGGCATTAAGAATAGTCATTAAAAAGGATGTAAAGTATAATATAGATTTTTAAAGAAATTAAAAGTTTTCCGGAACTGTGGTTTTGTTCAGTTTATTTTATGATAAAAAATAGTACAATCTGAATTACTGAATACATTTAAATTACAATTATACAATTTGAGCAAGTATTACTAATAAATGAACAATTGTATAATTTCTAAAATAGGGGTTGGTCCGCCGTCAGGCAGATATAATTTAGGATAGGAGGTACCGCCCTAGTTATTTTTATTTGTGTTTCTCACTGTGAATCCAACTCTCAACTAAATTACCAACCATATTCTATAAAAAAAATGTTTAAATAATTAATTAAGGGAAAACCTGGCGGTTGAGCTCGATCTCTGCCTGATCTCCTCCCTGTATACAGTACTTCCTTGCAAAGCACTGATCTCAAGACCCTTCATGGGTTGTAGTGGTACAGTTTTGTTTTTTTAATAGTTTTTGAGGTCATTTTTACCCTGCTTCTTTGTTATTAATTTGTCAATTCCAATGATTGAGGCATTGATAGTTCATCGTATTTACTTATTCCAATTTGTTCAAGGACCAATATAATAAGCATGGGCCAACTTGTTGTCTATATTGTGATTGTATTTAATTATGCTTATGCAGTTTTCTATTTATTTATTTATTTAAACCCTACCGTGCCATCGAGGCAATACTGGTTTTGGAGAACTGGGTTATTACATGTCACTACATAACTGCCTGCTTCTGCAACGAGACCAATTTTCATATTTAAATTTACTGTTTATGTTCTTATTCCACTTCTCCTTGTTCCGGCGGCCTCCCTGGCGTGGGTCCTCTTCTTGTGGGAGTAAAGTGTTCGGGTCCAATTGCTTCTTTCCACTCGTACACTATTTCTTTGTAGTATGGGCAGTTTTCTTCCGTAACTAGCTGAGGGATATCGGTCTCTGTGAGAACATAGAGACCGCTCTCCCTCACCAATTTGGCCCTTAGCGATGCAATTTATTATGTGCTCAGCAGTCTCCGGGATCCCACAGCTAGGGCATAGAGGATCGATATCTTTTCCAAATCCATGGAGCTTGTCTCGAAAGCCCCCATGCCCAGTAAGGAATTGCAAGAGCCAGTAATCCAGGAGAACCCACTTGGCTTCCAAACGTGATTGAACGGTGGGGAAGTACTTCCTCAGGGTGGCTCCTTTTGGTCTATATGCTTATGCAGTTAGTTATTGTGTGCTGAAATCTGTTTCTTTTTCTTTTTTTAAGTAAAATAAAGTGGAATAAATGGTTTGTATTTTTACCCATTGATTAAAGCAGCCCTTAGGGCAGTCCCACTTGTAAAACTTGTTTTTCTTATTATATTAAAACCTTTATGTATTCCTCTACTATCAGAGTTCACCGGAAGAGTGTGCCCTGCACCTTGCGAGGGTGCCTGCGTGCTTGGAATTAACGAACCTCCAGTGACCATCAAGAACATTGAGTGTGCCATCATAGACCATGCATTCGAGCAGGGATGGATAACGGCCCAACCTCCTCCATTCAGGACTGGCAAGAAGGTCGCTATCGTAGGCTCTGGGCCTTCAGGACTTGCGGCTGCTCATCAGCTGAACAAGGTATCAAATAAAAATAATACATTTCAACTTTAATATATAATTTATTTATTTGTTATAATTTGTATATTTTTTATTCAGGCTGGGCATACTGTCGCCGTTTTTGAAAGAAACGATCGTGCTGGAGGTCTCTTACAGTATGGTATACCGACCATGAAGCTGTCTAAGGAAGTTGTCCAGAGAAGGGTGAAGCTCCTCCAAGAAGAGGGTGTTGATTTCAAGACCAATGTTAACGTCGGAAAAGATATTACTGCGAAGGTATTAACTTTCTCCTTCTTATTGCTTGATTAATATTAATTCTAAAAAAAAAATAATTTATTTTTCTAATATATTAGGAACTTCATGATGAATACGATGCTGTGGTTTTATGCACGGGAGCCACCTGGCCCAGAGACTTGCCAATTCCCGGTAGGCAACTTTCGGGTATCTACTTTGCCATGTCATTCCTTGAGTCGTGGCAAAAGAAACAAATGGGCAACTCCATTACTCCCATCTCGGCCAAAGATAAAGATGTGATTGTCATTGGTGGAGGTGATACCGGGTGTGACTGCATTGCAACCTCTCTGAGACAGGTAAATCATTCATTCTTCTTTTTACTTTCACTCACCTATATATGAAATATATAATAAAGGAAAGTATTGCAATTGTGAAAATTTTGGAATCTGAGTTTTCAAACGAAATACATGTTTTAAGGTCTCCTGAGTCAAGAAAAAAACAAAGTTTTTGGGGGGAATTATTTATATTAAATTTAGGAATGGATTTTTTATTAGTAGTTTAATTTTACCTTTTTCATATTTTTTTCTCCAAAAATTCTTATATTCGAGCAAATACAATATATATGTTCATATCAACTTGAGTGGAATTTGAAAAAAATAATTTAGCTAACTTGAACGTTACAGTATTTTATCATAATATTGGTTTTAGGGAGCTGCTTCTATTACAACATTTGAGATCCTTCCTGAGCCACCAGAAAAGAGGGGGAAGGACAATCCTTGGCCGCAGTTCCCGAGGGTCTTCAAGGTTGATTACGGCCATGAAGAAGTCAAAGTCAAGTTTGGAAACGATCCAAGAATATTTTCAACCCTCAGCAAGGTATAGTTTTGCAGTCTCCTTAATTTTTCTTAGGTTACTGTCTATAAATTTATGTACTCCTTTATATTATTATTTTTTATTTTATAGTTTCTTGACAGTTTAAATTTAAATGTTCATCATGTGGTTTAGTTGTATTATTTCTATCTTGGGGCATAAAGATAGAACATAACATAAGCACTGTCAAATCTCAATGATTGAATTTCAATAACTCAAATTTTTGACAATATAATTTTTATTACTATTGACCGGATTAGGAAAAAGGATATAATTGAGGCTCTAGAGAAAAAAGGTATAAATAATGGACTTATAAGGGCCGTAAGCAGTTTATACGGAAATACGAGGAATCTTGTTAAAACAAGAAACAATATATCTCGGGAGTTTAAAACAAACTGGGCGTACGAGGGTTGTAGCCTGAGCCCACTTCTTTTCGTACTGGTTCTCGATCTGGCGCTGGGAAAAGTAAAACAGAAGATGCGAAGTTTTCAGTTGGGTCACAGAGCAGCCTACTCTATTCTCTCTGCTGGTGTTTGCGGATGACCTCCTCATATTGGCCCAGAATGACCGTGACCTCCAGAACAATATTAATATCCTAAAGGAAGATTTAAGAAAAAATCAATATCAAAATTAACCCTGAGAAGACGAAATGCATGCGCATTGGAAGAAAACCTCACAGGGTTATGAGGGTATTGAGGGTCGACGGTGAGATTTTGGAGCAGGTGAACAGTTTCAAATACCTAGGTGCCCAACTCAAGGAAAATGGATATATTGACGAGGAGGTAAGGCAGAGAATAGGAGCTGCTGGAAGAATGTTCGGCTCGGTTAGGAAAGGCTTTCGGAACCGAAAAGAGGTGACCGAGGAAACGAAGATGACGGTCTACAGATCAGTATTCCTTCCTATACTGACGTATTCTTCCGAGTCTTGGACACTTACTTCAAAACACAGGAGCCAGATCCAGGCTCTAGAGATGCGATACCTGAGAAAAGTGGAGGAAAAGACTAGACGAGACAGAATTTGCAACACTACAATCTGCGCCAATCTCGACGCCAAAGTGGTCGAAACCATTATAGAAGAACACAAGTTGAGATGGTTTGGGCACCTTCTCCGTATGGACCGGAACAGAGTCGCACGGAAGACATATGAGACTCGCGTGCAGGGTAGGAGACCAAGAGGAAGACCCAGAATCTCCTGGGAAGAAAGCGTGCGAGATGCATTCCAGAAGCGAGGTTTGGAATGGAACAGGAGACGAGAGCTGGTACTGGAAAGGTCCACCTGGTCCAAGCTCTACAAGAAGCAACCTCACACTGCATAGGCGGTAAAGAGGGATATGACTATGATGATGATGATGATTATTATTGAATGATAAAAACAAAATTGATAAACTCAAAAATTATTTGATGAAAAATTGTATCCCTATAACTTAAAAGAATGCTAACTCGAAGAAAGCCAACTTTATTAAGAACTGTTACCTCCTTCAGAGTTTGATAGTGGTTAATAAGGCAAGGATGGATTACCTTACTGACAATATATTGTACCACCCATTGTCATTGGTCTATTTTTTTTTTTTTTTTGTAAAACTTATTTCTTTGAAATTTTCCTAGTATATATATTAAGGTGGTGTAACTATAGTTATAGGGAGTGGGGTAGCTAAGTGATAGGGTACTGAGCTTCCAGCTCTAACGGTCCCAGGTTCGAATCCTGGCTAATGGCAGAAAAATTATTTATTCTGTTTCATTGGCCGTCGGGTGACCCTGGGTAGGTAGACCATCCTGGGGCACACCCAGCCTCTATTAAGTGGGTACTCTTAATTGAAATAATTAATTAATAGGAAAAACCTGGGGCTTGAGTGTGATCTCGATCAAATCTCCTTGTACTACCATAGATCAAGAAACATTGCTTTCTCTAAATAGTACAGACCCCAAAACCCTTCATGGGTTATAATGGTGCAGGGTATTTTTTAAAAATATATTAAGGTGTCGGGAGCAGGCAGCTCAGTAGGTTGAACACTGACTTCCAATGCTCATAGTCCCGAGTTCAAATTCGGCTGATGGTAGATATAGATGGTAATTATTTATTCTGTTTCATCGACCCATTGATCGACCCTGGGGTTGTGAAACCCTCCTGGGGCACACTTAGCCTCAATAAAGTGGATACTCTTAATTAATTAAGGGAGAAAACCTGGCAGTTGAGCGTAATTTCGGTCATATCACCTCCTTACACAACTGTTGAACAAAGAACAGTTCTTTCCAACACAGTACTGAACCCAAGACTCTTGATGGATTGCAGTGGTACAGGTTTTATATATAAAGGTGTAACATAAATATGAATCAAAAGAAATTCAAATATCTTTGTTCATGGGAAATAGGAATGTTGGAAAATTATTGATATGTTTTTTAAAATGTATCAATATTTTAACTTGATTGTAAATTTAATAAACGTATTTTAAAACATAGAAATAATTATTATGTTTTTGTTTGTTTAGGAGTTCATTGATGATGGAAATGGTAATGTAGCTGGAATCAGAACAGTAAAAGTAAGCTGGACCAAGGATGAAACAGGGCGATGGAAGATGGAAGAAGTTCCCGGTTCAGAAGTGGTAATTCTTTTTTCATATTTTTATTTATTCTAAATACCTTAGTTTTTGATAATGATCAGTATAAACTATTTATTAATTTATTGTAGATAATCAAAGGTCAATTAGTCCTGCTTGCTATGGGCTTCCTTGGTCCTGAGAAATATATAGCTAATGAGTTGGACCTCGACTTAGACCCAAGGTCTAACTATGAGACACCTAATGGAAAATATTCCACGTCAGTACCTAAAGTATTTGCTGCTGGAGGTAAATCATAATTTGTTATTATTTATGTATATATTTATTATTTGTTATATATTAAGAAATGTATATGGTTTATTGTGTATATATATAATTTATTGAATATTTAATAGTTGACCGTTGCATAATAAAGGAAGGAGATGGTCCAGGGTTGCGGTCATAAATAGGCTAAATAGTGGTAAAACTATTTCATTGAAAACCAACGTTTCGACTTTGCAGGTCTTCATCAGGGCTAGAATGGACAAGATACAAAAAGATTGAGAATTGTGGCAATTACATAATATTTAGACATAATTTTCTTACATATGTACAACCAAATATAATTATAAGTATTAATTTTTTTTCCCTCTCTATACTTTTAAGTTAGCTCTGCAATGTATGTATGTTAATGAAGTTATTTCTATATTTATATTTTACTTTTGCCAATTTTGGGTTTATTCACATTGTACTCTGATCTAGAATCATGAAATACCTCTCACATCTCTCAACTCTATTTTATATGTATATTCATATATTTATAATTTAATATTTCATAGATACAGTATTTTTCCATTGTATCCATCCATATCTTCAAAATTTCTAGATACTGTAATTTCCTGGGTTTTCAAAGTTTACTTAGTTAACACATGTTAGCTTCCCCTATACCTGCAATCCTTACCGCTGCCTATCCAGTTCTAAGTGAAACTCCCAGATGAACACACCTGTAAGTCTCTAATTTTATTTCTCTCCTGTAGATTTTGTAGAAGTATATTCACATTTTCATTTATTATATATTACACTACAACAATTGTTAGCATCTATTTACTTCAGTTTAGGATCTTGTTACTCAGCTTACTTAGTCCATATTTTATTGTACTTACTGTTTATAATTTTAATAAGCTTATTCACATTGTTTATAAATTATGTCTAAATATTATGTAATTGCCACAATTCTCTATCTTTTTGTATCTTGTCCGTTCTAGCCCTGATGAAGACCTGCAAAGTCGGGTCGAAACGTTGGCTTTCAATAAAATAGTTTTACCACTATTTAGCCTATTTATGACCGCAACCCCGGACCATCTCTTTCCTATATATATTTTATAAATAAATTTTACAATATAATAATTTTTGAACTTTTTTTTTATCAGACTGTAGAAGAGGCCAATCGCTGGTTGTATGGGCAATCAGCGAGGGCCGGTTAGCAGCTAGAGAAGTTGATGCCTACTTGATGGGCAAGACAACGCTTCCTGGACCGGGCGGAGTCATCACCACCCTGACTGCCAGCCAGAAAGGGTAAAGCTATTGGGTTATTACTTAGTGTAAGTTATATAATTAGGGGTATTCAAACAACCAGTGCTAAGTATTGTAAATCCCTTAAATGTGTAAAGTCGAGAAAATTATTTTTAAAAATATGTGTTATATATGGCCGCTAGCACTCTTAATTTTAACACAGACTAGGCGTCCAGTTAAGTATTGCTAACTTCATAAAAACACAGAGAAGGTTACTGTAAGGTTTTGATGGCTTGATTCTTTGTTCATGTACAATAGTCACAAAATGGAATATAAAGTCAGCTAGCTAGTATTTCATCTATGTATTCATCAAGTTCTTTGCCTCCTAAATCTTTACTAATTTTTAACCAAATAATCCAGAAACTCAGTCTTTTCACTTTGAAATTTTAAAAATAAATCAAAACATTAGTAAATCAATTAAGAACTCACAAATTTTGTTTGCTGTACAGGCATAACCTTACTATAACTAATACCATTTTAGTAAGTTAGTAGAGACAGGTTATTTACCATTTATTTAAAATTTGTGCTGACTGTTTAGCAAGATAGCATATTAAGCATTTACAACAAGTGAATATTTCAATTTTCTTCTTACGATAGTTTGGAGAAAGCTTCAGGAACTTTGAGATTTCTGAATGGTTTATTAGTAACCGTTTTATTGTATTTGTTTAATATGTTTACTGCCAACTAAGAGATGAATCGTTTAGGTTATTGCCAAGGATTCACAAATAAGAGTTATCTTTAGTGTTGGGCTTAGACATATGGTACCTCTGGGTAGTAACGTCTTCTCTCCAAAAATAATTAAATTTATTTCTTAATTAATTAAAATTTTATTCTTAATTGTTGATGGTTGACTGTCATGAATAATGAAGAGAAGAAGGATGCTTGGGATGAGAAACATAAACAATGTAGGTAAAAAAAAAAAAAAATTAAAGTAAAATGAAGTAGATAAGTGAACATTAAAGTAAAATGAAGTAGGCAGAATAATGACAATAACAAGAACTAAAAAATAAATAATAATAATGGTTACAAAGTGTGGACTAATGATGTAAACATAATGAAAATAAGGTGGCATAAATACTAATATGGTAATTTTAGAATAAAATGTAAAACAGAGAAAAGGAATATGAAGTTTCTTTTCTTAGCCATGATGAAGGCCTGAATTTCGGGTCAAAACATCGGCAAATGTTAAAATAAATATTATTATTTATTTTTGCCATTTTATTTCTGACTGATCACCCCAATCATCCTTCTCTTCATAATTGTTTTCTTAAGTTGTTTTTCCCGGGACTGCTGTACCAACTCCGAAAATTCCTACCATCTATATAGTTCCTCATTATCCGTTCCTACCTTACTGATAGATACTTTAAAGTAAATCACAACAATGCCCATACATCTCGCCTTTTCCAGTATGCAGGCGTTCCTCAAGGTAGTATCTTAGGTCCTATCTTTTACACAGTCTATAAAGCTGACATCCCAACACTATCATCACCACATATGCCGATTACACATGTATGCTATCAGTTAATAACGACCCATCAACTGCATCCCAAACCCTTCAATCACACATCACAAACCTTGAAGAATGGTGTCAGTACTGGAGAATTAAAATAAATTCCAATAAATCCCATCAAATTACCTTCACCCTTCGTCGTAAACCAATGACTTCCTTTTCTTCAGTATCTTTTAACTACACTTCACTTATTCCTGTTAATAAATCCGTTACCTAGGACTCCACCTGGACAAACGTCTAACTTGGAATCCTCATACCAGACTGAAACGACAAGAAACTGCTCGACGTTTCCGACTGCTTCAACACTTACTGGACAAATGCTCTAACTTTCAATTAATTACAAAAGACTCATATGACTATAATAAGGCCTATTTGGACTTACGAAGTTGAGCTATGGGGCTCCACCAAACCTTCAAATTCTTTTCGTATCCAATCCTTACAATCCAAAATCCTATGAAAAATCCTCAATGCTCCTTACTTTGTTACAAATAAAATCATCCACAATGACCTTAATGTTCCTTATGTATCAGATTTGGCCCAATCCAGATATCTATCCTTCCATAATAAACTTCATAACCATCCCAACCCTCTTGTTTCTAACCTTGCTTCCTATTCAATTCCTGATAACCCTCCGAGGCGTCTGAAAAGAAGATGGCCACGTGATCTCCTAATATAGACATATTATTAGAGTGCTACCAATGGGTAGTTTCTCAACATGTGTTTCATGTCATTATATCCATGTACGAATTTACTAGATGTATTTTTTTTATACAGTTGTAAATATCATATAAATAGTAATAATAATAATAATAAAAAGTTGTTTTCTATTAAGTGAATTGTATTTTATTCAATATGTCTCTAATTCATTTGCTTTTAATAGGGTAAAATTAATTATCTCATACACTTTGAAATGTTTTATTAATTCCCAATAAGCGGTGGGAGCCCTACTGCCCTGAGGCTGGGCACTGGTTATTTCATAGTTCATGGTATGCCGTTCATGCCGTATATGGCTACTAAATTTGTAGAGGTTTTTTTTTTGGAAGTATGAGTATAAGGTGAGACTATTAAATGGCTAGGCTGATGTAAAACATTTTATTTTGATTAAATACATATTTACTTATTATCACGTTCAATATACACCCTTCCTCTATCTCTATAACGCTCCATGCTAATCTTCCATTGTCTGAAACAGTGCTGGAAGTCTTATTCTGTCAGCACGCCTGCATTCAGCATTCAGAACGCCTGCCGCATTCTCTTTCACAGTTTCAACAGACTCAAATCGTGTTCCTTTTAATTCAGATTGACAAATTGTAATTGTTTACTTATGATCTTGAAACAAAACACCAATCCATTCATTGGAAGAGCTGAACTTTGTTGAGATTCAAAGAAGTTCAAATGAGCGAATCAAAATTCAAAGGAATGATGATTTTTTTTAATGGTATTTATGAGATTGTGCATCTTTATTGGGTTCTTGAATGTCCAACTATTAATCAACATTCACGTTCTTGCTGAAAGAAAAAGCCACACATGTCCTAATGTGGCTGACAGAAGACTTCCATTACTGTTTGGAAAAAGGAAAATTCAAATGAAGCGTTGTAATGATAGAAGAGGGGAGTATATTTTATGTATATTGAAGGTAAGAATAAGCAAACATGTATGAGATAAAAATAAAATGTTTTACAGCATCAATCTCATTATTTAATAGACATATTAGTTTAAGTATGAATATATGCCTAGGAAAAATTAAAAAAAAAAAAATTCAAGGTTGGTTTAAATCAATAGAAAATTTATTTATTATTATAAGTAGGTCTGACTTTTTGTTATCTTCTGACTGAAAATTGATTGTGTAATGTTAAAATTGATTGGTGGACGATACTGTTGAATTTCCCTTATGAAATTTTTTTCCCTCTTCAATCTTCCAAATGCTGTTTTTTAAATTATCGATTTAGAGCTGCACAATGACAATTTATTTCTATTTTATTCAAGTTTTGATACATCCTATTGATATTTTATTTTATGTTTACAGTTGAATGAAACCAGGAAGGGTAGATTGAAGTGTAGATTGCGGCCTACGATTCTACTACACCTGTCTTCTAAATAATAAGTTTTCAGCGGAGGTGTTTAGATAATTTGTAACATAGACTGTTCATAGTTTTATGTAAATATATATTTTGTCTATGAAACTTTTTTATTATTAATTTTCGAGTTATTTCGTTCATAATTTGGGAATTATTATTCACATTTGGAGAAGGAAATGTAAATAACTTATGGAAGTTAAAAGGTTGAAATGCAATTTATTATTTGTAAACTTATTTGTTTACTTATAGGAAATTGGCATATCAGTTATGTCTATTTTTGAATCCTGATTTTATTTAATTTTTTTTTTTTTAGGTTTTATTTTGATTATAAGTTAGGAACATTGTTATAATGTTGTGATTTGATCATAACTTTATTTTATTATTTCCTTGATTTATTGATCTTGAGTTTATATAAATATATTAAATATATAACCATATAATATGGTTTCTTGGTAAGCACATGAAGTATTATTTTTTTTTTTGCTTGATGTATCTATGTACCTTACTGTAAATTATAAATATGTCTACCTTTGGTGCCATTTTCATTCATGCCTTTTGCTGCTATTTATAGAAAAATAAACTGTGTGATCAAGCTTCATTTTAATAAAACAATCATCTATAGAAGTGTTTAATTTGATTTCCTTGTTTCTTAATACTCAGAAGGTCGCATCGGATCTGAGAGATCTATTGACTGGTCTATTTGATATATTTATATTTGATCTTGGGAGAAGAGAGCCCTCCCTATACATATTCTCCTGGTTCTTGGTGTAGTGGGGTCGACCTATGTTGTATCCAATTTTCATGCCAAAACTTGAGGATTGGTGGCCTATGTGGAAATTTTTAACGGGAAAGGGATACAATGACAAATGATATAATTGAAATCAAAGCCTTTATTGGGGTGTTATATATTGCAGGAATGCATTAAGATGGGGAAAAAAATTGGATGATTTGTAGGACTCAAGTGGCACAATTTCCGTGTTTAGAATTGAAATATTTTATCCCACTATTATGAGATTGTATCAAGGTTTAGATTTTTACTTTTATCCCTAAGATTTTATGACTGAGAGACATGTCAACATGTAAAGAAATAGACCGAATGGCACCTGTCTGGGATATATTTGAAGTTGGTCCAAGACTGCCGATCTTGTTATTTAGTTAGTAGAGTAGACGTGGCTATCGATAAGCAATTGGAGGACTATTGAGGCTGATGTTCATGTTGTGATGACGTTTTTATTAATTGTTTTTGTATTCAACTTAATCATATTATAATTGTTCCTTGTATTCAGTGATCTTTGTGTTCATATTTAATGGTATACAAAATTTAATGTCCAAGTTCTGTTTTGATTTTTAATCTTTTTTTAAAATTATGTAACTGTTGTTTTACTCAATAAATATATTTAAAATTCATCTTTAATGTCT